CCGCGTTTGCTTTGAGGTTGCTATGGTTATACGATATGTGATCAGAGGATGATGATTTCTGATCCGCAACAGTTAGTTTTGTAATACTAAACTGTTACAAAAGGGAGTCAGTGCTGAAGGGACAAATTAGACTTTTGAAGCAAATTCTATTTGTATTGTTTTGTGCGTTTAAATCTGCTTCGATAGTAGACAGCAATAACTAAGAAGACGGGGTCTTAGCTGTGCGAAAATTAGAAAAAAAGAAGTGAAGGTGGTGCAAGTCATGAGACAAATAAGGAAATGAAATCGTTTTGGTTAATTTTGTTTTTGACAGTACAAGTAAATAACATTAAAAAATAAACCTCTTCTTTCTTTTTTTAAATAGTTCATGGACGCTACCGGATTTATATTTTATCATTTTAAACCATCTTTCTAAATGAACAAGACTAGTCTAAGTGAAGCTTAAATTTAATGTACACATGCGTCCCGGTGAGGCCAAATCAAGGAGGTGAAGATTTAAACAAAATTTAAGGACACTTTTTGCAAACACCATATGTTACATTTTGTTTATCTTTCATGATGCATATAGACGCTGAATAGTCGTGCGTCCACCGTTCTGCACGTACTTGACCCAGAATTAAGTCAAAGTTTATAAACAATTAAGCTGCTGGAAAGTCAAATTTCAATACAACCATTAGAAGAATATTTTATCTGTATAGATTTTTAAAACTTGAAGCACTCAATTTGACCAATCTTAATTCCAGCACATAGAACTTTTTTGCAACGAAAATTTCTTTGCTTGATTGCCACATTGCTACAATCATTTATAATTTTTTACATAAATCTCTCACATTTCTGTCAACGTGTGCACGTAATTAAAGTAGCCTTCATGGCCCGATTCCGCGCGCCTGACGCCCTGTCATCCTCGAGAGCGACACGTTGGTCTGAAGTCTTTACGCGGAGGGCGTTACGTGCGGTGAAACCAAAACCACTACCCTCAGTAGTGATAAGGTTGTATCTGCAGATGAGACACGTCATACGGAGAATGCAAGATATGTGTTTATCTATCGGTCTTCCTAAAAACATTGAACGCAGCCTGTGGTGAGACCTCGATCAGGGTCGGTTATGTTTCTTAAAATTCTGATAGTTTCAGTGAAGGCTGAGACACAGATTGAATGACAGCCGAGGAAATCATTCTACCACAGACAAAAGACTTCTGTTGTACACTCACTGTATGTCTGTAACCAACGCGTTAAAATGGTTAGAGTCAATTACAACATTTTACAAGCCCCCACAGTGAGGACACACCTATCACGCGGATGAAGGAATACGCAGCGACTCGTTCAGAGATGTGGCTAATTCGAGGATCGCAGTGCATTGATTGTCTGTACAAACCCGGCAAGAAGAGTGAGAGGAGACTTAAAGCAATTGAGGATCGTCTGCTGCGATTACGTATCCGAGACACGAAATTAACAGGCCATGTACAGAAACATCGCACTGCACGGAGGCCATCTTTTTCGGAGAAACAATCCATGATGTATGTTAAATATTGATAGATCTATAAACTGCCTAAAATAGTCTGTTTTTTTTTTGGTGAAGGGTGCGCCACGCATTCCTGCGTAGCTTTTTGTTTCGTGATAATATGCAAAGTTGAGCTTTTATTTTTGGGTTATTTTAGAACCCCGCTTTTGTTTGCGCTTTTACAAGTTTCGTTTTCTGTTTTAGGTATTTTGGTCACGGTCTTACCCGTATAGTTGTAAACCCTTGTCGGGGACCTGTCATCAAAAATATTGTGTCTTTCATACAAACACGCAATACACTACTTACTCTGGTGTTGAAATACGCGTTCATCCATGTAACATCTTCCAATACCATTCATTTCCAGTTCTTTTTATGTGTATATATTTTTCTTTAATTTCAGCCGCCGAGTGGCAGGGACGACAGAGCGACATAAGGATGGGGCAGCTTCTATTCGCAACAGTCCGACTCATCTTCCTCATCTACTGCTCCCCAAACTGTCAAGGCGCAGGCTTTGGAACAAAGCGGAAGTTGCCAATCACAAACCGGTAAGTATCCCTGTTTTGGTTGATTTAATCCGCAGAGTAAACCAACTTTATTTCTCTCTCTCTCTCTCTCTCTCTCTCTCTCTCTCGATTAATTTACATCAAATTCCAAAACGTTCACCACGTCGCAGAATCAAAAAAAAAAAAAAAAAAAGTGCTGACAGGTCATTGCCCACCTCCTGTATAAACACCTACAGATCAAAAGGTTATATGAAGAGAGTGGGCGTCAAATCTGACTCTAGGGGATGAAAAATCGGCAAAAGAATATCCACATTTATTTGTATCAAAGCTCTACTAACCAGGTCTGAACTGGGCCTCATTTGCTCTACAAACATGGCTTGAAAAAAAAAAGAGGGGAGTTGATACTCTATGCTTTATGTTATAATTATCATTTAGATATTTTTTATGTTTATGTTATCACATTAATCACTACATGAAACGTAACGAAACGCATTTGGACAAAAAAATTAGAAGTATTTAAAGTATTAAGTTAAAACTTCAAGCCACCCATTTATATACAGAAGTGCATCTGACAAACATTAAGGAACATTTACGTACATTAAACAAATTGCGATGTGACGATGTAGAACAAAATGTGTACGATATATGGGGTAATAAATCACCAATAGCCTCGGATAACCAAATACTCCCCGTACACTTTGTAGCGTGGATTGCAATCAACCATGAACACCAAGTAACGCAGTTCACCAGTTAAGGAAAAATAATGAAATTATGAATTAATCACCCAGAGATTTTTAAAGGGGGAGGGGTGCTCTGTTCAAAGACTATCATAACTTGTGAAATATTCCCACACTAAAGACTGACAGTCAAGTGGTACTTGTTTATTTTGTTCAATTTGATATGAAAGATGTTTTGCTGTTACGCCGCATGTCAAAACGGAAAAACAAATCATCTGCTGAAACAAAGTTGATTAGGCAAAGTTCTGCAAGAGTTCAAGGCGCCTGGTGTCGGCAGTTCAAGAATCTGTAATTTTAGTGTCAGAATTCGAAGGCAGTAATGGAAACAAGAGGCTATGCCTGAAATGTGACGCATGACGTGATGTTATTGCCAACGTTTGCAAAAGTGCACGATTCTATCGAGATATCCTAAACAAAGTGCTCGCGTACTAAACTTTCAATAAATGTCAGATGCAATTATAATGTACATGGACAAGACGCGGGCCACTTTTGGTTCAAAGAGGCCCACTCGATGTATTTCCTGATTTAACTGTCAGATCTTAAGACAAGGAAGAAAATAGTGGGGAGGAGGCGAGTTGGTATAAAATGGACGCCATTCATATATGGCGTGACAGGCGACATCGCGCTGTTTTTCGGGAATCTATGAAGACGACACACTCACTGCCTAGGTTAAATGACAGAATGCTAAATAATTCACGGACAGGGGTTGAAACCCATCGTCTTGGTACTCCAGTGTGTTGTAGTGGCCGGCTTAGACTACGGGCTCAAGAAGATCATACCACTGACCCCACGCCCCGTACGTCGCTTCTTGGACATCGAAATGTCGTGTCACCAAAAAGGACGCCGCAGACCCCTGCTGGTTCAAGAAACCATTTAGGACACCCCATAGAGCACTCTCGAGCGTTCACACCTGCGTCCAGACTTCAGGATTGGTCAGTGCAACCCTTCAAGAGAGAAAGTCCATCAAATGGCCGTCCACAAAGACTGCAACCCCATAACTGCCCCTGGAACAATGTGCATGATGGTTGGAAACCCCATGGTACCGAGCCCCGGGTGCCGTCTCGCCTGAAAATACACAGAGATACAAACAGGCATTCTCATGTTGCGCTTGAAGAAGACGGGAGACACACCTCTCTCGAAGGTGATCCTGACACCAGGTGTGACGAAAGAATTGAGGTAGGTTAATTTTGACTTTGATCATTGGCGCCAACGCATTGTCAAAAGTTGTTTGCAGTGCCGTTTGGAACAGGTCCTGGAAGATTGAATTGAGGTGAAGCAAGGCAATGAAAGAACTCGCTTACGGATTTATGTGGCTGGAATACATGCTCTGATATACATGTATTTTTTATCTGCTCATAAAAGAAATATAACTTCCAGCAGTCTTAAAGCGTTAATTTTTTAAAGCAGCTGCTTTATGCACCTGTAGTCATAAGTCGGACGTCAGCCCAGGTTGACGCCACCTATATCTGAGAAGACGCGTGATGCCGTTAGGTTGGCGGTCCTCGCACAGTTTGAAATGACAGAATGATGCTAATTTGCCCTTGTATTTCATATTACAAAAAACAATCATGTAAGATGTAGTTGTCACTGGAACTACACTCTTCACTGAAAATTAGTTCATACAGACCTAGATTGTGCATAGAAATAATAAAGTTAAAATCCACTTGCATTTACCGTAGGCCAACATTCTTCAACTGTGCTTCTCAGCTGCATTAAAAAACTACTTTCAAACATTAAAAAAACATCTAATGAAATTAAGTTACTATGAAGCCACTATACTTGCAGCGTCAGGTTTCTGAAGCGTTACATAAAGTGACAGCAAATAAAACTGTTTAAAATCTGCCAAATAGCAAGCACTCACAGCGCTCTGTCCTGACGGTGTATTGGAAGTGATAGATAAATTAGGAGATCAGAAATTCTACACCGTCCTCGCGTCTGTGTGAATGTGTGTAGGGAGAGAGAAAGAGATGGGAGCAGAAAGAGGGGGGAACAGAAACAGAGAAAGTAGGGAAGAGGGTGGGTGAGATTTCTACACCGTTGCATTAACTGACGGAGAGAGAGAATGGAGGCAAAGAGGACTGAGAGAGAGGGGGGCAGAGATTGGAGAGAGGCGAGAGAAAGTGGGGAAGAGGATGGGTCAGATTTCTACACCGTAGCATTAAATGACGGAGAGAGAGAATGGAGGCAGAGGTGGGAGAGAGGCGAGAGAAAGGGGGTGGCAGAATGAGAGGGGGCAGAGAGAAAGAGAGAGAGAGGGAGGGAGAGAGAGAAAGGGAGAGAGATGAGATAGGGAAAAACACAAACCAAATGCACATTTTACCAATTACATCCAAAGATTCAATTATAATGCTGTTCTTGAAAATATCCTCCAAAATGTTTTTAGGAGTTGATTTGTGTGTCAAGCTTAAGTGAAAACCTTTTTTCTATCGCACCAAAGTCTACATTAAGCCCAGATAAAGATAGGGTTTTATGATGGAAATTAGAAATAACTGTTGGACATGTTTATGAGGTATTAGTAAACAGCACAGTGCATAGTGTTTTATTCTTAGATCCCGAGCCATTGAGGACGACGCATTAGTATTGAAATGTAAGTTTATTAAAATAAATACCAGTAGTTTAAAAAATTTCTTGCGTCATTTATACGTCTTTCTTTTTGGCTTAAAAATTGAATAGTGTCGCACCAGGCCATGAGCTTAAGATAAGAGAACAACCAAGTCAGGATATTGGCTAAATTAAAAACAAACCAATTCAATCAATTATACCATTGACATCTGCCAATATAAGATGTTTTTAAGGATTTAATATGCCTTAGACAACGCGCTTAACGTGACTTCTCATACGATCTGCACATAAAGTGCCAGTTTAAATTTTGCATTTGAGCGTCAATTGTTGTCGGGGTACAATTGTCACGACTGAAGATGAATAATTCAAAGACTTCTGTGAGTAAATTAACGCGAAAACGCTGCAATATCGGAGAAAGTTCATACCTTGACATTTTGAAACGGCTGGTTCTTAAATCGAGCACTTTCAGCGGCATCGAAGTGCAAGAAAATGATATCAACAGGCGAGAAGGTTCAAGAAACAACGCTTGCATTTCTGTTAAAGTGACTCTCTGCTCAACTGATGAAAATCCCGTAAACCACATCGTTTTTAGCGGACGCAGAAAACGACATCGTTCACCGCTTGCTCGGATTTTAAAAAGCAGGATATCAAATAACAGAATGGAAAACCAGAAAATCGACACCACACTTAAAAGATCTCCAAGTTATGCATTCTTGGAGGATCTGTACGAGCGCAAGGACCGAGAGCAGGCGCGTGAGGGCCACGAGCCAGCGATTACGTCACTGCACGCGGATTATGTAAAAGCCAAGGCCATAACAGTGACGGGATGTCAGACTGACCCTAAGTATAATACGTACAGTAATATCAGCAGGACAGAGTCGACCTCACAAAAGGACAACATGGCTACGAAAAAGGAGAGACATAAATCCGTAGACTTTTCTTTCCATTCAGTGCAACAACACAAATCTGAGAGGACTAGTTGCTTAAAGCATAGCTCTGGGACTTACTCCAGGGAAAAGTTGGCTTTCAATCAAAAGAAAGACTCCACTTACGATCTCTCTCGTAGAGCAACTAGCAACCTGTCTCTGACGTCACATCGCTCCTCGCGCTCTGGAGACAGCCTAGATGGGGATGGGCGGCGTTCACGGTCCTTCAGCGTGGTAAGCGACTCCAGATCCGAGACCTACATGCCCGGACCACCAGTGACAGGTCCCACAAAACCTGGCGTCCTATATGCGACCCCGAACCTCTACCGAGGACAAGATAAACTGTCATTCTTAGAGCGATGTGCGCAGAAATATAACTCCAATATTCTGACTGATTCGGACATGAACCACATACGCCATCTCCTAATGAGGCGGGGATCGAAAAGACGGTCATTAATTCACCATCGCCATCCCAATCAACTGGGAGGAATTGCAATCAAGTGCACGGTCCCTGTACGTTGATCTATGTATTGATTTGGTTACGACATCCTGAGGGTGAAAACGATACTTATGTTAATTTTTTATTAGTAAATTAATTAATCGATTAATTAATTAGTTAATTTGATGTCTAATTTGTTTATTTATTATTTATTTATTATTCACATTTTTCTCTCTGTATTTAAGCGCCTGCTTTTTATTAAGTCAGGTCATTTTATTCCTGTCCATTGCGTTACGTTTTACATGTTTATCAGTTCACTTTATTTCATTCAATTAATTTCCGTTATTATATTCAGTTATCTACTGTATTTTTTTAAAATTTTTACTTGATATATAATTTATCTTCCATATGTTCCGCCTCATTAATCATTATACGTTACATTTATTCCTATTTTGGAATATTATTTTTCACGCAATTTATGTGATGAGTTCACTGGCGTTTGTTTTCTTGCAGCCATTGGTGCGGTTCCGACAGGCTGTGAAAACTGTGATAGTTCTCTTGAAGGCAACACGGCTCGGGACGTAAGTGTTATTCCATATCTCCAGCAATTCAATTAACTATGACAAAATAGCCACTGTGATTTATAGACTGTATATATTGTTCGCATCAATCGATAATCCTCTGTGTTTAATCAATTAAAAAATCAATATATGCATTCTAAAATGATTTTCATGGAAGTATGCTAAAGCCCGTTCTGTTAAATTCATATCGCAGGTACGTGCTGTTCTAATTCTTATTTAGCACTCAAAATACAGTTTAAGTTAATGAAGTGACTATAAAATACCTCACAGGTGTTTTAAAGTATGTTATTATTGCATATTGCCCAGACTGTTCGTCTCTAAGCATTTACGCTTATTCTACGCATAATTTAGGACACACTTCTATTGTAAACAGGTGTCATTTTTGTTAATCAAACAACAGATCTACGTATTTTGAGTTCTGTCACGTTGGCAACCCTACATTGCATAATCTAGCCGCTGGAGGTAAATAAGAAGAGACTATTTCAGATCACAAGCACGTCCCGAGAAGCAACTGATTTCGTTCGCTCAGTACCAGGATGAGGTGACCAAAGAACGGTCTTCCTTTGGTGATGACCTCTCCTTTGACCCCTCCTACTACAGGACCAAGAGGGAGGTAAGACCTGGAAATGTGATATAAAATACATTGTCGTCCACTTTGCCAGTTATTTCTTTTTTAAAAATGTGATAAAGAAAGTCGTCTGCTTAAAAAAATAGCTGATCTCTGGATTTTTATGTAGGCCTATTGGAGCCTGTATTTCAGTCACCATATGTACGCTGAAAGTCTATAATTTGCTTGTATTTTAAGTAAATCATCATTTTTGTCTTTACTTTTTTTCTTTTTCTTTTGTTAGTGGATAAACTCGTTTGTGTATTTTAGACATATGTACATGTAGACTGATAGCCGTTATAAACTGCAACAGTTATTTCTAATTTTTCACAAGGATTAATATCTGAATAGAAATGTTATAAATAGCTTTTTGAAGATATAAAACAAGGCTATTTTGAAATAATTTATTTTAAAAAATAGATATTAAATAAATGCATTGAAAGAAATACCCACATGATTTCTGTTATTTGTATTAACATTCATTCTAGACTCAAATTAGTAACGAAGCCAAGTCTATACTCTCCAAGCCTCCATCCGAACGAACAGAAGAGCAACTCAAGGTGGCGCTGGCGTCGCTCAAGAACACTGTTGAGTCGTTCACAGAGTTCCCGATTAATATGCAACTTTCCCTTGTGAAAGTAGGATTCTACGAACAGTAAGATGCTAAGAATGCATTGCAAAACTGATTGCTTGATTAACTATCAATTGATATTATGTTGCTTGATTAACTATCAATTGATTATGTCGTATTTTAATTGGTATCTACAAACATATATACCTGTACTTTATTTACAGTTAAAAGGTTTTGAAAAAATATCACGATACTTGCATCTTTCGGTTTAGGAAAAATATATAAACATATGCATATTAACTTCCAAGTTCAGTGATACTGAATAGATAATATTATTAGGGGAGGCGAGGATGGAGAAAAGTCTTTTATAATGTTTGCACTGAAAAGATCGATAATGACAAAAAAAAGTATTTACGCAATAGAAGTGCTGCGAGCATACGAACTGAGTTAATGCTTCTACTGTGCATTTAATAAGTCTTTAATAAGTCTAGTCTTGGTGTTTTCTATCTTTCATTTTTTTCACATTTCTTTTAGTTTTGAGGCAAAGCGGGTGATTATTCGACAGGGCCACACAGCGGACAACTTTTACTTCATTGCGTCAGGAAAAGGTGAGATCTTTAAGTGATCACAGAAATTTTGCCTCAGTTTTCTTCACAATCCATTTGGCTGTCGTCCACGTTTCGGTTGTTTTAAATTACATTTAAAACGCCTCAGTAGACGATGAAATTAATCAACCGGGAAGTGAGAGTGTCTAAGGTGCAGAAGGAACTATTTTGGTCGAATCGGGGCGCACTTCAGACTTCAAACAGCGTTAATTTAAGACTTAAGACCCCTGTAAAGGCGCCTGTTCTCAATTTTAATCATTATTTTTAGCTCCTCCACAATCCAGGTGGTTAAATCCCACTTTGAGCTTGGTTTTAAGGTTACCAGGCGACAGAATAGATTAATCGAGGATTTGATTACTAATACATTCCGTATTTGTCATTATGTTAAGGCACTGGAGAAATGAAGAATCTATAGGCTACCAGTGAAGATAATAGAAACGATAACAGCACTGTACCACTAACACTCACTGAAAACTTCAGTATGTTTTGGTCGATATAAAAAACAATTAGAAACCGCCGCATATATAAACGGTTCTGAAAAATACACTTTTAATTGTGCATATAGGTATAGTCACTGCATCGTTAAGCACGATGACAATGCAAGATGAAATACAGTATTGATTTTATACAGGGAAATCGATATTGTACACAGGCGCAGCATTTCCCCCGTATTTCCTGTACGGTAAAAACTTGAAAATTTAATCGGTCTTGAAAAGTACGTTGGAATGATATAAGTCTCCGCCGACGTAACTTTTTTTATCTAAGAGAATTTCGTCATACTTGAAAATGGGCTTTTCGCCAATTTTGAAAAGTTCATCATCTAGTGCATGGCCGTGGCGGATTCACAAATGTTAAAGTATTAATTAATTTTAAAGTGACGAAATTGTCAAATTTTTACCGTAACCTGCAGTAGCTAGTCCACACCCTGCGTTTGAGAATCAACAACAATTTCACCACCACTTGCAGAGCACAATTGTCGTTTACAACGGAGAGAGATCTTATGCCGGTCAGAAGAAAGTAACTGTAAGCATTCTGATATTTTGGGCGGTAGCCGTACGCCGTGATGGTAGCCGTACACCCGGCTGAATCTGCAGAGATGCTGTCTTAAAATAACCTTAGAGATTGGAATGAAACATATGCGCACAGCCTGATTGTGCTCTTACCTTATGTTGTGATTGAAGTGTTTTTGTGGGATGAACAAAATATTGCACTTGATATCATGAGCAATATTTGTTATATATTTGTTTACCTTTTTTCAGCGGTTGTCACCATTCTGGAGAACAACAAAGAGACGGGAGAGGCCTACGTACGCACGGCAACCATTTTGAAGAAAGGAAACAGTTTTGGGGTGAGTTTTCCTAATATTCGGCTTATACTTTTGATTATGCTTTGTGTTGTATTTAATGTTTTACAAAGGTTTAGATTGCGCTCCTTTGGTCAGGTATATTCCTTTGCTTTTGGTAACATTTGTTAAATATTTAATGTTTCTAAAAATACAAATTTTTAGGGTAAGGTTTTTAAGTCTTAGGTATATGCTTTTGATAATACATGCATTTTGTCAATAGACCTTTTTGTCTGATTTTCGCATTGCAGTCCGTGAAAAAAATTCTTTTGTAGATTCTGTAATTCAATTTATAGGTTACGTATCTCCGTATCTTTTAATCATACAAAACGTTTCCGTAGTTTTTCTTCTTGAAAAGTAACTCCAACTGAACATACGGGTGGCAACCAATTGCGATTGTTTTTCATATCGACCAAAACGTTCATTTTTTTTTTTTCATTTCTACCTCATTATTTCGGCTTTTTACGAGAACAGTGCATCTGTTGAGAAAATGATGTTATTGTGTTACCCCTGCCACGATATATCAATATTTGAAATCTGTCAAAGGGCTCCATTGTGGTAGTTGCGCTATATATATATATAAAGTGTGCAATCGGTTGTAACGGTTGTGCTGGTATCTCTCCAGGAGCTGGCGTTGATGCACGGCGGCAAGCGCAGTGCCACAGTGACGTGTAAAGACGACGTGGAACTCCTGGCTGTCGGCAGACACGACTTCATCGACATATTCATGCGCTGTGAGAAGGATAAAGAGCCTGAACACGTCAGCTACCTCAGGCACATTGACTTGTTTAACGGCTGGCCTTTGGAGAAATTGCCCCATGATAACCCAAAGATCTGCCTGTTCACGTACATTAGGTGGGTGTGTCTGCTGTGGTTGCTGAGACAGATAACACATTTACATTTGTTTTGTGTCCCGTTGAACAGTATGTTATAGGTACTCGGCTGATCTTCTTCTCGTGGGATTATTCTTTAAGTCAATTTGCTTCATTTATATGCAGTTTTAGTTTTTTTTTAACAAAAATAGTTCTAAAACTATCATTTTATGACACGTTCGCTGCTATAATGCCACAACGCGCGCGTATGCCCGTGCGTCCACGTGCACAAAGAAATTACATCTTATTAAATGAAAAATGCTGCGCAAATGTGATAGATCTATGTGAAATGTTTATACAAAGATTGAACTAATTCTTCCCGCCCTCTCCCCACTGCAGGCGCGGGGTGGTGATGTGCAGAGACAGCACCCAGGCAGAGTGGATCTACGTCGTGAAGACGGGCACCTGTCGCGTGCTGAAGGCGCTCCGTGCCACGCGGCCGAATATTCCGGGACTTGAAGTGCAATCTTATAGCATCTGTGATCAAAAGAGTCAAAAAGGCAAGTAAAATCAGTGTTCTCTTTAGATTTTAATTGGTAAATGTGTCAAGGTTTAGCGCAGGTTTACGGATATTCATATTAATTAGAAGAATAGCGCAACTATGCGGTGTGCATGCACAAATATAATGTGGATAATAAGTTGATAAGAAAGTGGGTTGAATTACGTGATTTGATTTAGCTTTAGTGTGAAACGCACTCTCAAAACAACAGTTAACCTTTAGCTATCCGCGACATTTAAACAGTACTTGCTTGTTTTTCTTTATTTTTCTTATTTAAAAATCTAGATTTCTTTAAAATATCCAAATGCTTCCTTTATTTTCAGGTTCAAAACGAAGGTCAAACGTGAGACGCGCACACTCAAAGTCTTTGCCGCCATCGTTATCGTCATCCGTATCCTCATCCTCAACCTCCTCCTCATCACAATCAGCATCGTTGTCAGAGGGTAAGGCGGCGTCCTTGGATATGGGGAGGTGTAGTAGAAAGCACCACACGTTCCCCGTTACTCAGACTCAACATGGTTCTAAATACACCCCCTCGTGGTCCAGTGGCGTCCTTCCCCCTATAGCCAAGTCATTGTCTCAAGGTAGGAGAAATCGCTAGTTCAAGATAATAATAAAATGATTTGAAACACTTTTGAAATAACTTGTTGCCTTCCTACCTTTTATTTATTACATGTAAAAATAAATGATCACATTTTAAATCCGCGAGTTGTAACTTTAATTTAATATATTAAAAATATTAACTAACCCAACATTTCAGCAATATATCTACAAAGTTTGATTTTTAGGAAAAACTAGTCAACCACTGTGCTGATATTTTGTCTCAAGTTAATATGTCAGAAGTCAATTGAAATCCATTAAGTCTTTTGAAAATAAGAAATAGTAAGAGGAAATCCTTGTCATAAAAAAGAGTACAATGATGTACACAATGAAAATATTATACAGCCAAAACTCACAGATACCCATATTATTTCAGGAAAATCAATAGAAGACGATGATCACAAAAGAAAACTAGATCAGATTTTTCAAGAACGACACTTTTGGAAGGTATACGTATAACAAATGCTTAATGTCTTTATTCGCCGATAAAATTCACTTTTCCTAATACAGTATTCTGTATAAAAAGTTAACACGCCCATGGCTTCGTTTCTTGTCTTTTTCTGATTCGTGTCTATATTTATGTTGCCAAGAGTAGGCCTATTATGTATGTGTAATAAATCAAAAATGTTTGGTATATCAGATCTGTGTGGCAATAAAAACCATAGCGTCTGTGTTGCAGGACCAAAGAACGCCGTTGTATTCTACCCCCAAACCGTCAACAGCTTCATCGACGGAGGGAGAGACGGTCTTCGTAGAGGTGCAAAAATTAGGACCAAAGGATACATTTGTAAGTTGTCAACGTTATATTTCATTTAGCCTCTCTCTCCCTCTCTCTCTCATACATTCTTGATAATAAACATGTATATGCTTGTACATGTATAAATATATAGGCTTTTTCTAATATATTCTGCTAGATCATTACCTCTGCCAAGGAGGTTATGTTTTCACCCCTGTTTGTTTGTCTGTCATCAACATAACTCAAAAATTTTTGGGCCGCTTTTGATGGAATTTTCAGGAACTGTCAGAAGTGGGCCAAGGAACAGATGATTAGTGGTGATCCGGATCAACAATCAATCAATAATATCGTTTTATGGGTGAAACGGCATTGGATGGGGACTTTGCTGCCTTGGCGGAGGTCTGCGCTCTCCGAGTGCTTTTCTAGTTGTACATGTATCAAAATTCGTTTGTACGATGTCTTGCATTTATCGGTTTCTTTATTGTATTCTGCAGGGTCTAGAGGGCGTGGTGTTCACGGATATAGACGGAAGTGACGTCAGTCTGAGTCTAGTCTCAGAGGGCGCAGAATGCATCCTGATCAGCCGGCAATTTTTTGTGAAACATTTGCCAGACAAATGGAGGAAAACATTACGGTCTACAGTAAGACTTCTCTCTCTGAGCCTTTGTTTGTCGTCATTTTATTTGATACTGTCCATGCGCACTGAATACATTCCAATATTTTGAATGAAGACGTTTGCCATTCATTCATTCATTCATTCATCTATTCTTTCTCCTGTCTTAAAAGTTCTTTAAAACCTCAAAACAAACTTTTTATGCATGTAATAATTTTTCCTTTCAGATACAGCCCTACCCTTCAGAGGAAAGTTTGCAGCAAAAATTACAAAATCGTACCAACTGGGATGCTTTCAAAACTCTGACAATGAAACGCTACATAGCTAAAAAGAAACTGTTAGACACACTCTTTCTGTGATGGAATCGTATTGACAGAAGCCAGCACGTGTGACACCACGCGAGCTGTCGTGCACGTGATAAATCGTGACGTTCTCCTGTGTATGTATTTTTTTTATTTAACTGATTGTTCAGATAAATAATATCATCATACAATTTTAAGACTAGTTGGTCTCTTTTTTTATCTGTGACTCACAAATCAGTACATGCGGGTTCAGTTGTCGGCATTGACAAAACAACTTTTGGATGCGTTGGTCAAACATAATAAATGCTTTAAACGTTATTTATAAGTGTGTGTGTGTGTGTGTGTGTGTGTTAGCATGAAAAGTAAGAGGTAAGCATGAAAAACAAATTCTTACTTAAATGATATATATAGATAAATGGGTATTATTTATTTGACCGACTAAGTTTTAAAATAAATGAAATATTTTCACGAAATCTATTTCAAAGAAAATGTATGAGACAGGATACAGTACAGTTTAATTAAACAAATCACAATTTATACTTGTGCACCAACTACTAGACGCATGTACAAAGATTGTCACCAAAATCATTCTTATACATATATACCGTTTTGTGTTACACGTCTCTATTAATTTTACCATTTCTTTCAAACCATTTCCAACAGAAGCGATGTAACATTTAGAATTTACCTTTTTGAAAAACGTTACACATGAAATAAAAAGCCATTGTGAACTGTCGATTTCATTATTCAAAGTTCAAAATTATTCTTTTTTCGGCGATAGTATACCATTATCGACCCTGGATGTTGCAAAGCAATGTATTGACTGAAAGCAAATGTCATTAATTGTTTTAAACAATTTAATACCCGATGTCAATTACCCATTACTGACCCTGGATGTTGCAAAGCAATATATTGACTGAAAGCAAATGTCATTAATTGTTTTAAACAATTTAAAACCCGATGTCAATGCCCTCCAAGAAAACATTCAGAGTTGTTTTCGTCTGGTTGATATAAAATACGTCATTAAAAAAAACGATGTAATCGATCGTTCTTTGTATTTCAATGGACAAAACCCTGCAATTTGATTGTTTGATAAAACCCATATGTTTCAATTGTCTCTTTTCTTTTGGAGTAAATAGAGCTATTTGCCAGTGCCAATCGATGGCTAGGGAGCCGTTTCGCACGGCTACCTCGTTTTTGCACCAACTCACCCAGTGCCATAACATTGTCGTCTGCTGGATGCCAAATCAGGGCTCCCTTCGGGATGGAAATCGGAGCCTCGTTTTGGCACCAAACAAAGCATCCGTTTGTCGTCTGTATTCAGCTTGCTACATATGAAATTCCACGATTTGTATCCGTTTGAATTTGTTCAATTTATTGTATGGTTTTGTGAAAAAAAAACTGAAAATTTTCTTTGCTGGTCCTACACTCTCCAAAGCGGTACTTTGACGTTTGAATGCCGGTGCCCAAAAGCGGTCCAAATGCTACGGGCTTGTTAAGGTAAATATTGTCGCTGTTCTTCGTACAGTTCTGCCACCTGAGAACCCGAGAGGGTAGTGTTCAGAATCAACAAGTCTCTGATGCAGCCTTTAAAGCTGGTGCCAATGTCATATACAGTCGCAGCTGAACTAGTGACTGTGCTAAGTGAAACGGTAGCATAATCGGAAAGGTCGTGTTGTCCATTGTAATAAAATTTTACAAGGCGGTTGCTCAGTTCATGGGTGATGACGAGGTGATCCCACTGGTTGTAAGATATTTGACTGATACTCGTGTCACTTATTGCAAGACACCTGACACTTATGCCGGGGTCAGTGTTCATGAAGAACTCCAGGCGCCTGTGGTTGAAGAAAGTTGCAAAGCTTTGTTCGTTGTCACTTAGCTGACGCCACCCGCTGTACAAAAACTGGATCATGGATGGAGACGGATCGTCGCTCTTCAGCCAAATGGAGATAGTAAAATCCGACTGTATGAAATGGACTGCTGGAACCTCGACGCCGCCTGTTCCAACCAAGTACAAACTGTTATTTCTATACTCCGCCGTATTTGAAAGGCTGAAAGATGAAAGCGGTGACAGGAAGTAACCAGGCTGAACATGCGCATTAGATATTTATAATTTTCAAACCATTTTAAGTGATGTTGCTGTTTTTTTCTTACATTTTATAACGTAACGTTACAAGCAAATGTATTCCACGACATTTTGGTTAAATAGCGTGGCGTTACGTTCAAAAACAACAACGCTGAATAAACCCTTCGTCTAAGATGACATTCGTATAGACTTTGATCAACAAAAATTTACCATGGTCATTGATTCAACATTGACAAGTCAACATTGGAAATTATTTGTGTTGACATACCGACATTCATTTCACGTAAAACGTAAAACCCTCTTAGAATTACCCATTATTGGCCAATTGAAGGTTTCACTATATTAAGGAGTACATGTCCACGAGCATGCATCAACAAGCATGGCAGTAATCTGCTTTACCTTTCTCACGTGACAGAATGTGTTTTATGTCATAAAATTTCAACATTAAAATTTGAATTCTAAAATAATAAATTAATGTTGATTCAAAGCGTGTCTAATCATTGTGTGCTTTGTGTGGTAGGTTCCGAGGCAACCAACACACGTGTTACTAAGGGTGATAGAATCATTATCATGCTGGTTGCACTTTGATCTAACTTAATGTAAGCTCAAGCGAAGCGTGGAGATGCAATGGACATCCAATGAAAAATTGATTAGACTTATAAAACCGCACTGAGCCCAAAGAAATTGGACAATTTAAGTCGTGCTTCCTTTCCAAAAACCCAAAGCGTCTTGTTTTTTACTGCAGTCTTAAAAAGATCAGACTTTACAAAACAGATGGATTACCTAATCACTTAATATATCTTTTTTACCTTGGACCAAATTTCCCACTAAACAGGGATTTGCCATATGCCTTAGCAGCTGAGTAATCTCATTGTAACAGTCCCTTGATAAAGCCAGTTAAAACATCAATATATCTACTGTAGGACTATTTCTCATAGACTGAGTCTTATAAGAAAACTTGATCACCGGAGTGATTAGGAATACTACTTACGTCACTTCTGGTCTTGGGGCACGTAATGGAAGGTGCTGTATTATGACGTCACTCGAAATCAGGCTCTCTATCAATGCAATGATACAATATATAAGATACTAAGTAACTTAAAAAGATAACAACTGCTCATTTTGGCCAAAAAAATTAATTTTCCTATTTTAGAAATAGTGAAACAGTAAATAGGTGAAAAAAAAACATTCAGAGAGTGCAGACCTCCAATAAAGCTCAATTGTCATAATTAATAAATCAACAAATGGATCTCCATCAAAATGTAAACGCTTCTAACTTAGTCCACTTTTGCCTTATCCTGAAATATCTTATCAAAATCCGCATTGAACTTCTTGAGTTAGGCTGCTAAATTACAAAACAACGAAGGCAAAAAGAACTTGGTGGATATGCCTTAGTATAAACAGGTTTAATTATTAAGCAAATCATGCCAACAGAAAATAAGATACCACACATTGCTAAACGTGAAAATATACGAGACCCTAAAGAAAGCTCCCGATCAGCGTGCGCCGACGTATCAGAAGAGGTTAATGACGTCAGACTTACTAGGACCTAGGTGGTGGACATTGGTAGCACTGGTCAACATGGCGGGGAACATCTGAACATTCCCGTCAAGAAGTTCACATGTACCGGTACTTCTGTCGAAATTTGCTGAGCTGCAGTTTGCATTCCGTACACATAGAACTGCACATTTTCTAATTGTGGCACCGGTATGTTCACTGAAATGTTTAACAAAAAAAAAAATCTTATAATGCCGTTCTTATGATATTTAGTGGAATATATGTAAATACATATATCAAAAAGATAAAGACGCAACGAACTTCATCTTAAGAATTATGCATTATATCTCGAGGATATTTTATCTTTTATATCTTTTTTTTTTCGGTTTCAAAGTGCTTTTGGCAGTTAACATTTTATTTTGCATTACATCATTAGACATCCGGCAACAAAATTTTTCTATAAAAATGAAAAGTTTCAAAGTAACATGTTTAATAAAGTCCTTTAAGCCCGTGGTGCACATATTTAATTAAACTGAAATGATGAAATAATTCACTTTTCTTTAAAAAAAGCACTGACCTCAATCGCTCGAGGGGTAATTGTTTGTTCTGCAGGACTGGAAAATTGGCTTCTCTGTAATTGTTTAGCCTTGTAATTTGTCCACCTATATTTGAATAATACAAATATTCAATAAAGAGAAATTTCAATAAATAAAGTTGATAAAAAGACACGCGGAGTCAGGTAAAAAGGAGAGAGAGAGAGAGAGAGATCCACACCTACCGACATCGTTAATGGACACCGCTGCCAGCCATATTACAAGTGCTGATAAAATCCTATCGCTCATATTCAACAGGCAACTGTCATTCAACCCGAATACTACTACATGTACATTCGACACGGCTGCATTGAAATGTTTCAGCCATGAAACTGATATTCAAAACTTCCTAATATGCCCAAATACCTGCACCACATTGATCGGTTGAGTAGCTAAGTTGCGGTGGCCATTACATGAAAATGACTTTGCAGGAGACACACGTTACATCCTCTAGGAGCTATTGATAACGGATCGTTCTTTTTAAGTTCAGTTTATAAAAACACATAAAAAGCTTTTTTCTGATGTACAGAATGTGTGTGGGATGTAGAAATAAAACAACAGACAGGAGTGAAAGGAGAAACTTCTATTTTCTCTTTGAATTAACTCATTAAAAAGTTTCGATCAAGTTATTTGCATCAAGGTTAATGGCTTATTTCAAGTATTTAAAAGCACTTAAACTACCATAGTTGACCACGTAGGCCTATCGCCAGTCAAAATATTGACGAAAAGCCTTGTCAGTAAACGCATATTCTGTCTTTAGTGCTTGCTTTTCCAACCAATCGATGAGAAACCCCACAAAAGAATAGGTAGATTAATATCTTTATCGCGTCTAGTGTAAACATATACTGCATTTTGGCCACAAAAACTGCATTTGACAGACCATTTTAATCCCATTTCGTTTATTTTATGTATTATTACTTGCACGAATCAATGCAATCATTAGCTTGTGTGCGGGTAGTGGTATAAGTAAGTCCAATGGAGGTGACTATCATTGAAGTGATACATGTAGCTGGTTTACAGGAAAATCGCCAGGTTTCCTTTTAGCGTGCAAAATATCCTGTTCTCATTTCACAATGCACTTCATTGATTTTTTTACGTACAAACTTTACTTTAAAGCGTACATTTTGTTTGCAAGGAAAAGTACTTTTGGATTTCTTCCTGAAAGGTAATTTATATAACTGGGCGTTAGCAACGGGACCATAACATTTCATGTCGTTACACTTTCAAAATATGTCGACAGGTATCCCGTTACAGATACAGGTGTTTGAATCGTGCATCAGATACACGTAATCCTTGTGACTTAACATATGTTCATTGGGGATCCAATTGATAAATAGGCCTCATTTCAAAGTACTGCTTTCTGTCAACATATTCTTTATAAAAACTTAACGGGATTGCTTGTATTTTAACAGATAACGCTAAAGGGATCATAAGTTTTGCGCACTATCTCTACGGGGACTCTTGCTGAATGCAATCAGATTATGAGATAAACATGTCGCCTTCTGGCTTTGAGTAGAATGCAGAGAAACAAGAGGAGGTATTAATCTGACTGGATACTAATGAACGGTCCCACAATGAATTAGTACTACAGTCCACCAGACATTCAGAATCATATTTGAACAGAGCAGGTGCATATTCACACTAATGACTTAATACAAAAACCGTAAATCGAAAAACCATAAACATACAGAAATACTGTTAGACAAGCATGGTGTATTTGTGTGCACGACAACAAAAAGAGAAGTGCTGTTGAAACTATTCTGTCTGCCCAATCTTAATTCCAGTAAGGTAATTCCTGTTGGACTCGTTAAAAGCGTTTTAACGCTTTAAGGGCATGATCGTTTGTAATTTTAACGCTCACACGCTTCCTTTTCCTTGCTTGTATTGTACGACCACCCTTCGACGTGGGGCAGGCCATAATGTAGGATGAATAACAAATGATTCAGATATTGTTTTTTGCCAAGTGCTATTTTTGTGGGCTCTAATCTTTTAAAAGGCTGAAACTGACTAGTGCAAAAGCCGTTAAATTCACAACCTCTCACAGGCGTAGTAAAAGTGACATAAAAAGTCCCTTTTACATGGATCTCAAGGAGCAAGTGGAAGCCTTTTTCAATGTCTGGCCAAATTTGCACTTTTTCAACCAACAATGTGAAGAAAAGATCTTAAATGTTTATTTTTTATATTTTTGGGCACTTTGAGTTTTAAACTACGGAAAGTCGAGGTCAGTTGATGCTGGAAGAGTGTCCAGCACGCAGTGCCGACAGCCTCGTTTTAGGATATCTCGGATGATTTCTTGAAAGCTGTATCAGACAACCATTCCTCGCTCGTTTATAAACATTGACAATGATCACTGTCAATTCCATAACCGAGGGCAGATTGACCGTGCGGTCAGTTTAATATATTAAGAGTCTTAAACTCATCAAACGTGAAGCTTTTACTACGCGCCACCGGTCATCCATTTAATATGCATACAACAGATACGTTGAGTTATATAACAAATGAAAGCTATCCGTCTTCTGATATAACTGTGAAAGCGCAGCTCTTTGACAGACGAGCGTGTTTGACATTTGCAATGACCCCCAAAGGTAGTTTTAACTTCGTCTTCAACTCGATGCATTTCTCAATACATTATTAACGGGACTACCGTGGTTATTAAACTAAAATGAACCCTGATCATTCAAGCGTTGTCTTATAAATTAGAAATCTCTTACAGCGAAGTTTTTTTTTTAATCATAAGGTTGGTTGCTCATATAACTTAACACGATCTCAAAAACAATGAAGCCCAAAAAGCGGGATTTGAAATTAGAAAAAAAGGCCTTGTTGTGGCAAATAAATCAATCGAAAATGGATCCGTGTTATTACCGATTGTGTGCTAAATTAATAATGACCATTTGTTAAGGTTCAAATAAAGTTTCGGAATAACACAGCATCTTTAGACCACTTTGTCATGGAAACTTGCAGAGACATACAAAAACAAACAGCACCATAAGGCTACTTGATCATGTTTTTTTTTTTTTTCATTTAAGCACTGTTAAACTTCACACAACTGTTCCAATTGATATCTGTAATATTCGTCCACAGTCATCACAAATAGTTTCCATGGACTACATCAGTCTCTTTCATGTGCTGTCACATTCACCCATACATCTTTAAAAAAATAGCAACCTTTATGATGAATTATCAAAGCTCAATAACATGATATAATAAGCCGAAGTGGTAAAATAACTATAAAACATATACAATTCAAATCTGACATACATGGTGTACATGTACAAAGCTTAGTAGATGTAGCCATAACATTATTTGTATATTCTAAAATCCAATAAAATTGCTTAAATTTGAAGCCATTAACAAAATGTTAGAGAGATTAAACATTTCACAGAAGAGACATACATACAAAATCTATTGTCAGAGGACTCCATTTTGTGCATTTTGCCAAAATACTAAAACTGTATCACGAGTTTTATTTGTCGGCACCACCATTTGGAGACCATCCACTTTATTTCGAAAGTATATGTGCAGCTGTCACACAGTCTGTGACAGTTAAAGAACACATTCTGCCTTGCTTTTATTGAAATCACTTGGCAGAAAGTTGTAGAGATTCCATCACAAAGGTGACAGCATGCAAAGGATCGCTGACGTCATTCATTTTGTCTCTTCTCAAGATCCAGTCTGGCCTGATTTTCATTGGTCGCTTTGAAGGCGTAAAAGGCACATATGTGGACCCAGGATAGCTCTTTGTTGCAGCCATCTTGGATTTTTTGATGAGCCTGTTTTCATTCAAGCTGTGCTTTCGCAATGTCAGCGTGTGGATGCTGCGCAAACGGTCAGACATCTTGGGTAGTTTTAGAATTTCCTACAACAAAATAAAAATGTTATTATCTTTTACTATTCACATGAGACTGCGAAATTTAAGACTTAATCAAAGAACAGTGGACGCATATATTTTTGTACAGAACTAATGTAGCAAACCTTTTTTATATCAACCTAACACAATCTCCTAGTGTCACAACCAGCACATTATCCCAAGTTCACAACTAACACAATCCCACAGTGTCACAACCATCACAATGCCCAGGGTCAGACTCACCTCTCTCCTGGCCCTGTCCTGACACAATATCCCCATCAGTGTGCACACCTTGCAGAAGATGCTGCTGCCCTTGTCTCTGTAGATCTGCATCAGCTCAACCAAGGTGTCCACAGAGTCCTCGACCTGGTACACCGCCTGACGGGTCTTGTCATACTGCATGGGAGAAAACAACAGAGAGATAAGTACTACTCCTATAATGCGACAGTAGTGTTAAATGCACAAAATGGAGACTTGAACGTATGATACACTGTGTGCAGGTATAACTGCAGGGTAAACCTGTACATAGTCACTTCATGTGTTTTAAGATAATTTTTGATACTAGGGGGTAAAATGGCAGGTAATGTGCAACATTGTGCAGAGACCTTTAAAAAAATCCTGAAAAAAGTGGCGAAGGCATGCAGCTCTATTTGGGGAAGTCTAAGGGCACAAAGACAATGTCCAAAAATCTGGATTTACTGGATAAATTACACATCTCTCCTGTGTACTTGCATTAGATGTGGCAATGCGTTCACCTTGACCAGGTTCAGTAGAATGTTACAGATGATCACAGATGTATCATTGTGTAAGGTGAGACAATGCGCTCACCTTGGCTAGGTTCAGCAGAATGTAACAGTTTATTGCGTTAGGTGTGACTAATTGTGACAATGCGCTCACCTTGGCCAGGTTCAGCAGAATGTTCACAGAGTATTTGATGATCTCCATGTGGGGCAGACTCCTGTTACAGCTCCTGATCAGGGTGTAGATGACCCCCACTGCATTCCCTTCCACCATTCTCTCACAGCACCGAGATGACAGCCTGGTGGCAGCATCTGAAACCAGAACACAACACAATCAACAGTTAGGTACATGCCGTGGGACAAAGAGAAATTCTGTAAAAATGCTCTTCTACAACAGTGTAGAATATTTACCTGCCCAGTTAAAATCTGGACTCTGGAGATACATATACTTACATTTCCGCCGAGTATCTGAGATGATAAAATCTGTAGGCAATTGGACTTATATATGCAGTCCAAGTGTTTATGACATGGTAAATTTTGATCATGCTTGTGCTCACATTTGTATGCAGAAAACAGAAAGTCAAAAACAAGCATGATATGCATTAGAAGCCATTGGTATAAAAGTCTTTGAGAAAAAAAACAAACAAACATGATTTACCCAGATGTACAAGAGCCTCCAGGATGTAGGACAGCTGTTTGTACTGCAGCAGGAAGTCCAGTGCTGACGTGGTACGGTTACAAAGTTTCTTCTCCTCTGTTGCTGCCATTGTGGCCTCCTTAAGCCGTTTGCGCACCTGGATCACTTTCTTGTCTTTCATCTGGCGCCTCGTCTTTCGTCCTCTCCAGACAGCCTGAGGAAATCACATATAATATGTAAGTTGCAGACATTTTTCATAAGCATTTTTAACACTTTTTAAGCATTTTTTAAGCACTTTTAACAAAATTGTAGACAAATAGCTATTTGTTGTCAGGTCGCATTAAAAAAAAAGTAAAACATCAACCATCTTACTTCACCTTTAACAGTCAACATACAAGGAAGGTCTTTTCTTTAAAAGCTGCATAAGTTTAAACTGATTTAATATAACTTATAAGGTAATACATCCTATGCCAACCTGTATAGTGACTATTGCATCCTGCCACTTCTGAGCCTGTCTTCGTCCTTGCCAGCCCCGCACCAAGGCCTGTATAGAGGTTGCTGCCTGGTGGCGGCACGCCAGCCTCTGTCTCACTACAGACTGTAGCCTGGTGATGCCAGCTCTCAGCTTCAAGTAGTGAACACGCTGGAGCTTGGCACGGATCCATCTCTGACACAGATAATAAACAGAGCATGTTAGTTATTGTACACATTGTTTGAGCTTGATGTTTAAAAACCTTTAAATAAAAAATGAGAGAGAGAGAGAGAGAGAGAGGGAGAGGAATAAAATTTGTTCGCATTTTTTTTTTTCATTTAAGCCAACCTCTATCCTTTAGACAATACTCTACACCATTTTGTTACCTGCAGTATCAGGACAGAAGTAATCTTCTGCCTTGCCACCAGCATGGTTCTGTAGTTCCTGTAGGACCTCTGCAGCCTGATGGCAGCAAGGTGTGTCTTTGCCACCTCTACCACTCTGGCCAACACTGCTGCCCTCTTTTGTCTCTGTTCCTATGGTAAAGCAAGGGGGTCATAAGAATTATATTAAAGCTATGCTTAGAAATGCACCTCTGCACAAAATACAGATGTATCAAAGCCGGATCCAATTATCTTACAGAAGTATTTGCTGTCAAAACTGACCATCAGATAACAATAACTGCAATGAAAACTGTATGTTTTTGTTGGTGTGCTGCCATCTTCCCTTGTTGATGAGTTTCTATGGTTAGACTTGGAGTTTACAGTTTTTTGTATTTTGAGGTCTATAAGAATCATACACAGACAATGAACATCCTTTATAGATTTATTAGTATTTAAATATATATTTTTTGTGCCCCTTCCCCTCTCACCTTCCCACCTACTTACCTCCAGCACCGTGCGGAGTCTGTATCCTCTGTAAACTCTCTGAATACAAACTGCAGCTCTGTGCTCACAAACCAGTCTTCTATAGGTCTTCTGTGCAATCAACCTGGTACAGAGATTTTACAGTTGTCACTTGTCATGATGATATTAAAACAGCAAGAATACAAACTTAGCTGAAAAGTTATCTCTTTAAATCTGGGTGGGTTCTGAAATGCTATATTTTGTGCATTCTTAATTGTATTTTTAAGCCATAGTTGCCATTTTTTGTGTGAGAAAAAAATATGTAATATGCAATATTTTGTTATAATCCTACCTTCTAATGTAAGACTGGAGCATAATGGCAGCCCCTCTCATAGCCTGGTACTGCTTCCTCTGCCTGTATCCACGATACACCTTCTGGATGACCAAGGCTGCCCTGATGGCCTTCACCTTGTTCCTAACCATGTGACCTCTGACCCAGGCCTGGATGGTAATGGCAGCGCCAACTCTGATCAGGAATTCCCTCCTCTCCTTTCTCCCTCTGATCACAGCCCTGGTATGTTGCTGCAACACCCTCACGGCCCTCATCTGTCTGTGGTATCTGTCTCTTGCTGAGGCTCCTCTAACGAAGGACTGGATCCTAATGGCAGCTTGCCTCATCCTGGCGTAGCAACACCGCACCTGGTGTCCCCTCACTGCAGCCTGGATGGTAATGGCTGCTCCAACAGCAATCTGGTACTCCCTCCTGACTTCTCTGGTCAGCAACACTGCCCTCCACACACGCTGAATAGTGATCGCTGCTCCTTTAACAGTCAAAAACTGCCTCCGCTGTTGATAAGCTCTGACATGGGACTGTAGTTTCACCACTTTAGCCCTTGTGCTGAGGTAGGCCTGTCTTGCTAGATGCCCCCTAACTATAGCCTGCATCTTCACCACTTTCGTCTTTGTGTTAAGATAGGCTCTTCTTGCTAGATGCCTTCTAATGGCACTCTGCATTATCACTACACATTTCTTTGTGTTCTGGTATCTCCGTCTTGCTAGATACTGCCTAATGGCACTCTGTATTGTGATGACTTTAGCTTTGGTGTCTAGATAAGCTTTTCTTGCCTGAAAACATCTAACTGCGCTCTGAATTGCTACTATTTTGGATCTTGTATCTAGAAAGGCCTTTCTCTCTTCACATTGTTTAGCATGGGCCCTGAATCTCTCTTGTATGACCAAAGCTGCATTCCTCAAGGTAACAAACTTCTCCCTTGTCTGCTTCATTCTCACCCAGCTCTGTAACAATATGGCTGCCTGCCGCTTCCTCGCCATCTCTTTCCTGACCATCAGCCCCCTGGTGGCGGCTTGGAGTACTATGCAAGCCTGTCTTAGTTTCTGATACTCCATCAGCACCTCTCTGGCCAGCTTGTTGGACCTGTAAACTCTCTGCATGCTGACTGTGGCCTGGCGGACAGCGTGATACCTCTTTGCTACAAGACGGCCCCTGACCCAGGCCTGGAGCGTCACACAGGCGGCTCTGAGGCGCAGGTACCTGTTCCTGGCAATGGTGGCCCTGACACGTGCCTGCATGCTGATAACACAGTGTAGATAGCGCACATACTGCCTGGCCCTCCTGGCCCTGTAAGCAGCCTGGATCACAATGGCTGCCTGGCGCTGCTGGGTGTATCTCACCCTCTCCTTCCTTGCCTGCAGCTTGGCTCTGGCATATGTTTGTAGGACAAGGGCAGCATTTCTGATTTCTACATAATGCTTCCTAGCAATATAGACTCTGGCGTACTTCTGCATGGTGACACAGGCCTGTCTTGTATCTAGGTACCGTTTCCTAGCAACCCAGCCCCTGATGTACTTCTGGATGGTAATGCAAGTCTTTTTTGTTTCTAGGTAGTGTTTCCTAGCAACCCAGCCCCTAGTGTACTTCTGTAAGGTAACACAGGCATTTTTGGTTTTCAAATACTGTTTCTTAGCAACCCATCCTCTGGTGTACTTCTGTAGGGTGACACATGCTTTTTTAGTTTCTTCAAAATGATTCCTAGCTGCCCAACCCCTGGCGTACTTCTGTATGGTAAGACATGCCTGTTGCATTGCTAGGTAGCGTCTCCTGGTAATCCAGCCTCTAACTGCTGCAGCAATGACGATGGCTGCACCACGGTGGATGTGGAAGTACATGAACCAAGACCTGCACAGCATCTTCTCTCTGAACCTTCTCTGGATGATCACGGCAGCTTGTCTTAGCTCCTTGAATCTCCGCGAAGCCATGTATCTCCTCACAGCAGACTGGATCAAAATGGCTGCATTGTGCTGACGAAGATATGCCTCCCGGATCACATGACCTCTCCAGGCAGCCTGTAAGGTGATAGTTGCTCCAAGGAGAATGTTGTAGCGTAGGCGCTGCTCTTGGCCAAGCCACCATGCCCTCAGTCTTGTCTGGAGAACCAGTGCTGCCCTCTGCAACACCTTGTACCTCCTGCGAGCCATTCTCCGCCTCCAAAGAGCCTGAGCCTTGACGGTTGCCCTCCTGAGCTGCTCATACCTGCGTCTCTCCAGGCACATTCTGAACACACTCTGTACTGTGACTGCTGCAGACTTCATGCATGCATACTCCTGCCTGGATTTCTGCATACTCTTCTGAGCCCTCCAACGCTGCTGTAGTGTTAAAGCGGCTTGTTTCAAGTGGCTGAATTCCTGTTGGCTTCTCCGCATACATAGGCAGGCTCTGTACTTTCTCTGCACCAACAAAACAGCTTGTCTCAACAGCTGAAACTCTTCCTTGTTCACCTGCATCTGTTTCTGGGCTCTGTATCTCCTCTGTAATGTCACTACAGCTCGTTTGAGTTGATGGAATTCCTTTCTGTTTCTTTGCATTAGTTTCTGGGCCCTGTACCTGTGTTGCACTATCAAAGCGGCTTGCCTCAGGTTCTGAAATTCTTCAAATTCTCTTTGCATCTGCTTCTGAGCTCTGTACTTTTGCTGTATGGCCAAAACAGCCCGTCTAAGTTGCTGAAACTCTTGTCTGTGTCTCTGCATACATTTCTGTGCTCTGTATCTCTGCTGTATTGTTGAAACGGCCCGTTTTACTGCATGGTATTCTTGCTTGTCTCTCTGCATACATTTCTGTGCTCTGTACCACTGCTGTAGTTTCAAGGTGGCATGTTTAAGTCTCTGGAATTCTTGCATGCTTTTCTCCATACATTTCTGCGCTCGGTATCTTTGCTGTAAAGTAATGGCAGCTCTCCTGAGTTTCTGAAACTCCTCTTTGCCTCTCTGCATGTCCTTTTGTGCCCGGTACCTTTGCTGCAATGTTGACACAGCTTGTTTCAGTTGCTGGTATTCCCTTCTGTCTCTCTGCATACATTTCTGTGCCCTATACCACTGCTGTATAAGCAAAGCCGCTTCTTTCAACTTCAAGAAGACAGCCCTGGTCTGGCATCTTCTTACGTGAGTCTGAAGAACAATGGCTGCTCTCTTGGTGGCAATGAAGGCTGTCTTTTCTCGATGTGCTCGGAATGCTGACTGTATCACCACAGCTGCCTTTGTCTGTTTGGCAAGTATTCTTGCGGCATGGGACCTTGCCAAGTGACCCCTCAGCAAAAACTTGCGAACAGTAGTCTGTGAAAGTAAAACAGAAAATGCTAATATAAATTAACAGGTGAGTCAATATGACTACACATTTTCAGATATTAGAAAAACAAAACTGAAAACTCACCACTTTCATAAATAATATGTTACGCACTTTAAATAAACAAATAAATCTTCCCAAACAGTTAGGATTGATAAATGCGAAATTTTGAGGTAACAGCAAAAATACAGACTTAACCTACCTGAATTGTGACAGCTGCTCTTGACTTCCTAGCCAGCTCCACCTGGTGTTTCATCTGGATAACACGTTGTCTGGCAACCACTCCCCTCCACCAGCTTTGTATTCTGATGACTGCAGAAGTTTGTTTGACCAAGGAACGCTTCTTCAAGAAACATCTCACTGCCCTCTGGAGCTTGACAACAGCCACGGCTTTCACCTGTGGACACAGTGAAGTAAGGTTAAACTGCCTCAATAAATTTTTATGGTGCAAGCATGTGTGATTTGAGATTATATTTCACTCAGCCAATGCAATCTAAAAAATCCCTATTATTTTTTCTAGAAACAATCTTTTTTTTTTTATTTTCTTATGTAAAAACAAAATTTATCTACACTTATTGTCAAAGCCAAAATTATGATCTTGATTAAATAACAACACCGTGCACTACTCTAAAACAAGCTCTTTCTCAAAAATCAGGATTTACAGCCATCAGCCCCTTTCATAAAATAATAATATACATACATACATATATATATTTAATAATCAATACCTGGTTAAGCTGAAGGACCTTGGTCAGTCTGTACTTCCTCCAGGCCACCTGAATGGTCCTGGCCGCCCGCGTCTCGTGCCTGATGTCCAGCAGGCGCCCACACAGGTAAGACACGTATGTGATGACCACCTTCTCGTCTGGGATGGTGTTGGACATCTCGGTGGACTTCAGCATCAGTGGGACGCCTCCAAGCTCCGTCACCTGTTGGAGATTTGTACATTATAACATAAAGACCTGTCAAATACTGACACTGGTTCAATTTTGACCATGTTACATTATAAATAAAATAAATATACATAACTATAACTATACATAAATAAATAAATAAATAATAATTGCCTTTATCAGTGCTATCTAGTTATAAGATTTATCTCTTCAAATGTGCTAAATTTTTTTGCTTAAAGACAATGATTACAATTTTTCTCACCTTTTCATACAAAACCTTGAAGTTTTCTTTTTCATTTGCAAGAAGCTGGTCATACACTGGAGACCTTCCAGATGCTGGGAAAGGATAAATACTTATTAATACAAGAAAGTTCATAAAAAGTATAGGCCAATTACTTTTCTTACCCATAACAGATGGACTAGTCACATTAATAAACTGAAACCAACACTTAATCATAAAAACTCACCAAAAAAAGGAAAAGAATAAAAAACTATAATAGATGTAAATAATTTTTTTTCAGACTAGCAAAAGGAAAAATGTGAGACAGCTTACTAGGACTATAACTCATGGACCAGGTTCCATGAAAACTATCCTCTGCATCCGAGTTCTCATTCTCCTGTTCCTGGTAGGACTGGGTTGTGTCTGTCTTGATGCTCTCTAGGGGAAGGAGGGAGGGATGGTAGTGGTGGACTAGATAACACAGGGCACGGCCATCAGAAAATGACACAGTGAAATTTTCAACCTGAAATGTGATATATAAATGATAAAATTGTTCTGTGCTTTTACAAGAGTATCATTTTTAGAAACTTCGATTGATATGCTACCTTATGATTTTTTACATTCACTAGGTTCTGAAGGTGGTCTTTTGGATTACACTGAAAATATTGAAGATCACAAACCTCGAGATTGTAGAAAGCGCACACAGCCTTGCACCACTTGAGCAGCAGGCTCAAACCATTGCTCTTGAAGTACAGATCTGGCTCCATGGATTCTCGTCTGCCTCCTCTCTCAAGACCTGGCAAGAAATATTATAGTTCTTGATATTAGAATACCTTTCTCAATTCTCTTTTTCTTTCTTATTCTTTTGTTGAACTGGCTGCCCATGACAGACACACTGAAGACATAACAGTGTGAAAATATAAAGGAGAAATATTTCAGTATCCAAGTATAAAAATCACTTATTAATAAAGAGTAAATCTTTTTGTAACAAATAGAGAACTAAACTTCACTTAACTGATCTTTGCTGGATGGATTGAAAAATTTGCACAATGTTTGCATCATACAAACTGTTTTTTCTTAGTTTCTTATCTCTATTATTTACAGTCAGTAGTGTACAATTTGTGAAGCTACTTACCCAGATCATTCTCATAGTTGAGGACGGCAGTGAGGTGTGTCTTCACACAGAGAGTCTTCTTCAGGAAGTCCACCTCTTCACGCAGCTGATCAAGATTCAGCAGCACATCAACCTGAACAGAGAAGAGAGAGGGAAAAACTCACAAAACATATCTTGCTTATCATACACAGGAAAGTTTGCCTCTCTTTACTTCTGCTGAATCGCTCCACATTGCTAGCAAATACTAAAACATCTTTTGAAAAGTTAGCATTCAATGCCAAAGAAAGCATATTCTGAAACATGTCTTGTATCCTGTAACACAGTTTGGCGATACATTTACCAACACTGCATAGCTTCTCATCACAGTGTTTTTGTCAACCCAAGGACAAAATGTCCACGTACCTGGAAGTTAAAGATGACCCTCCAAAGCATGGCCAGGGTCTTCTCCCTGTGACCATCCACCACGTCCCTGGGGTTGATGGCACCACCCTGGGGGGTGGTCACATCCAGTCCCCTGTTAGCCAGGGCCTTGAGAGCCACCTCTACATTATGGATCTTCTGCAGCCGGCTAATGGCGGGCACTCTCAGCAGACTGGACAGTGACCAGTCACGGGTCAGCAGCTCTACAATTCTCCTGAGATATGGAATTATTTGATTAAACTATTGTTATCTTATCAGTAATGTCTAATAATCAGTAAATAATCACAATAACATTAGCACGTAGACTCAATGTGCATCTTACCTTTATGCCTAACACTATCTTTATACAACAGAATCAGTATGTTTGAAATCTCTCACAAACAGTATTTCCAAAACAAGGATACATATTGAATAACACTGCAGTAGACTCAACACAGCATAGAACCACTGAAACATTAATCAGACAGCAAAGAGTTGAGACAAGTACTTATAACAAATTCACAACTCACGCCAGCCTGACTCCATCCCTGAGATCCTTGGACAGCTTGGTGACGGCAAAATCAAACTCGTCCAGGGCAGTTTGAGCGTGTGTGATCTGACAGCCCAGGTAACCAAGGTGACGGATGATGTCACCCTCGCCACGGAGATAGTCCCTGGAGAACTGCAAGAGGAGGTCGCGGCTGGCCTGGAAAGATGAATGACAGAAAATACCTTGAGTAAGTGGTGCAAGTATGCTGTTACATGAGAAGGAGGGACTAAACTGCACTGAGTAAAAATCTGCTACTGACGTAACAGTCGGTGCCAAATACTTATTTGGCTGCAGGCCTTTGAAGAGAACAGGGTTTGAAAACATACAAGCCCAAAACACAAACAGTCTCTAGTAAAAGAATAAAATTACAAAAATTATTTTTCTTGCATTAGCTGTCAGACCAGTGGCTGTTGACAGATTATCTATGAAAGACCTAACCAACTCTGGAGGCAAGCAGGTGATAAGACATTTATTGTCACTGATTTTTAGAGAAAAGTAACCATCATATTGGACCAGACAGTGCAAACATGACATCATGAACAAGTCAACCTACCATTATAATATCAAAACAGAAATGAGCCAAAATTTATTGTCAGCCATTCAGTTGTAGACTTACCTTGAATTCAGAGTCCTTACAAAACAAGCAAGGGTCGTGCTCAATGAGTCTGGCTTTCTTAGCAGTGTCCAGGAAGAAGACCAAGACCAGGAACTTCTTCAAGGTGAACTGGGCCAATGCCTCATCATAGCCTGGAAACAAGATAAAACGGTACACAAAATTCCCTAATTTGTCCTTTATCTAAAAAACTTTTCTGAAATTTTCTGCCTTTTCTCTGACTGGGAAAAAAGAGTGTGAAGGTTACTTACCGTCTCTATACAGATGTGGAACAGTGGGATGGGAGTACTTGGCCGCGATCTCTGGGTTGCTAAGCAACCGGGTCAAGATGAACCTGGACATGCCCAGTACGTCGTGGTTCGACTGCAGCGGCAGGATCTCCCCATAGGTAGTCTGTTAAAATACAGTGAGGGATTAAGTTAATCACACTGTTTATAGTGTCAAGTTCTTTACAGTATGAGCCAATTGTATTAATACTGCAGACATGAACCTAGGTTTAAAAAAAAAAAAAAACTTCTGATCATATATCATGGGACCCAACACCTAACCTTGACGAATCTCAGGAACCATCAGATTTGAATTTAAAAATTCTTTTTTTCCAAAGAAAAAAAACTTATGTCTGATATTGCATGCAAGCATGAATCACAATCTGAATCACAATCTTGAATGTTAAAGCTGAATTATGCCCACAGAATTGTGTGTGAGATACAACTTCATAATAACTACATCTGAGGTAAAACTGGATCTTTTTTTTTTTTTAAGTTTAAAATTTGAAAGAGTCAGGAGGAGAGGAGAGGAGTGCAGCTCTTTGTGAGCTTTATGGGGTCAGGGGATATAAACAAAACACTCAAATATCTGTAAAACTTATGTGTCTCTTCTAAGTGCACAGCTCACCTCTAGTCCTATCCTCAGCCAGAGTGGGTTGTAGGAGAGAATCATGTCAAGGACAACTTGTTTTATACCTGAAACAATATCAACATGTGGTTTTCTTTTACTTTTAAAAATACTATCGAGGGTTGTAGATATATACCTAAAAGAAAGGTCATATTCAAGGATCTCAAGCTGAATGCAACACTTTAAAAGAGGTCATTATCCAAGATTAAAATGTGCTGTTTATTTTCAAACTATACCCATATATCATTTGGATGAATGGTGTCTTTTTGACATCAATAACAAACATCAAGAAGTATAAATTGCAGTTAGTCAGCACATACCTACACTTATTCAGACATGCATTCCATACACTTTACCTAGATCTGCATGCAGCTTCCGATCTTTCCTGACAGCAAGGTGACCCGTTTCTATCTCTACCTCGATCTTCCGGACGCCCATCACAAAAGTCTCAGACTGGAACAGCAAGCAGGCAGTTCTCCTCAGGCGATTGAGGCGCCTCCTGGCAGAGTACGCCCTCAGGGAGAGGACTTCTTTGGTTGGGGCCAGTTTGTTAACTGTGACTGAGGTCACACACAGGGAGCCAGCATCAACTGAACACAGGGGAAAAAATATTGAATTAGGTAAATTTTATCAATACTGCTCTTTCATAAGAAAAGGACTATTCGTAACTAAAAAAAAAAAAAAAAAAACTTATGAATTACCATTTGACCAAAAAATCAGATTGCATTTTTGAAGACAATTCTTTCAGGCAGCTAGAAAAATCTCCACAAGAATAAAATTCAAGAGATCAGTTTTGTGTTAAGTAGGGAAGATAGTTGCTGATGTCAATTCTTACCTTTGGCGGGTTTCTTTCCATCCCCAACATCCTCTTCTGGCGTGAGGATAAAGTTCAGCCACCGCTCAAAGCCCTTCTCTTGCTTCTCTATCCATCTCTCATCATAGTACATGTTCTTAGATGCAAACGGCATTGGGTGTCTTGGGATGGCTGCAACCAGAAGCACAGGTAACTTGAATGAATGTTTAACTTGGTCTTATTTCTTACATAATTTTTTAAAACTTAAAATTAGGTCTGAGAGAACTGACAAAAGCATGCAGCGTACACTTCAGAGAAGCCTGGTCAGTGAACTGCTTTAACGGAACTTTAAGGGAACTGCCGTGTATGATTGTTTGGGTTTTTAAAATGTAGCAGTATAAGTCTGTGACAGGAGCCTTATTGCCAGGTTATATGTAACAGTGCATAAGGTTATATGTAAATACCTGTTTTGTTTGCCGTCTTCATTAGCACCAGTTTTGATGGAGCCAGACCCTTCACAGGTCTCTTGGTCTTCTTGGCATCTTTGAAAGATTTTGCTTTTTTGGCAGACACTGCACAATGAAGAAGTTGAACAATTTAAAAATGGTAAGAAGTTGTGGCTTTTGCAATTAAGTCCAGGGCAAGCATCACAATATTTTAAAAAGATTTATTGATCTATTTTTATCGATAAAAAGTGCATGTGGAGTATTAAGTGTTACATGTGAGACGCAGAATTACCATGCTGGACTTTATCTACATAAATCAAATCTACATCTGCCTGTCAGACTACTCACCAGCCTTCCTGAGCTGCTCAGTTCTTGTAGGTTTTCTCTCAGTGGACAAGATGGACTTCACAGGTGTGACCGGTGCTGCAGCTTGAGCTCCACTAGACTCGGCAGTGTCCTTGTTGAGGGAAGTCACAGAATCACTTGGCTTCACCTTCTTCTGCACGCCCACTGCAGCTTTCCTGGCTTCACTCTGGCTGCGCGTCGCACTGTGGGTTCTCTTTTTCTTGGCTGCTGCAGACACCGTCATGGCTCTGGATAGGTGGCCCTGGCCGCTTGATGATGCTGATGACGATGGAGCTTTGGTCTGTGATTTTTGGAACTTTGCTGCTGGATTTGTTGCTTTGGATTGAACCGTAGCTTTATTTTGTAGGTCAATTTTCTTCTTCGGGGAGATTCCCACAGAGTGGACACCTTCATTAGGCACTTCTTTCTCTTGGTCACTTTCTTCCTGTACCTCATCAAGATGGCTATCTGCATTGGATGCAGCATGAGGTGGAACATGTGCAGCAGCTGCCTTACCCCTGGCTGTGCTGGTCACAGCACCATCCACTGTCCAGGTGGTTCTCCTGGGACTCTGGCCATACTCCTCTGGCAGGGCTCTGGGGCTGGTATGGGGGAAGGGATACTTAAAGACAGGAACCGATGGTACCTGGGCCTCCTTTGGTGGTGTTGAGGGCAGAGCAGGAGACAAAACAGGAGAGTTTGCTGACTGAATCCGTCTCATTTCTTGCTCTTTCTGGACTGTCCATGTGGTTCGTCGAGGACTTTGTCCTAGGGCCTCAGGAATGTCCCTGAATAATTCTTTCTTCCCTTTACATAGCAGTGCTGCCTTGTCCTGCTCACCTGTCTTTGTCTTGGTGACAGTCAGTGTGCTCAGTCTCCTGGGATCAGGGACATCAGGTGTGGTGTTAACTGGGTCCACCTGGCTCCTGGGAACAACACCGTTCATGTCCTCGCTGGCCGGCTTGACCTTGGTCACTGTGTCTGAGATCAATCTCTTGGGGACGATCCTTGGCGTGCTGGACAGCCTCTGCTTCAGCTCCGTCTTTACAGTCTCTAGCTGCTGCACCAGGACATCGTGCGGGATGGATTTGTCAAACAACTCCCCTGGACTGTGCTCTAATGTGGCCTGGGGCTGGGGTGCAGTGTAGGTCTCCTGCAGGAAGGAGTTAGGAGACACATGAGCCACATGGTCTGTTTCCCTACATAGTGGTGTCTGCACCTCCACAGCAATCTCCCTTGTCAGAGGCTGGGTCTTCTTGCAGGAATTCTGGAGGAACGAATTGGGGGTCACTTTCATGTCTGGCTTGGTGCCCATGTTGAGAGGCGTGTTCAGGTTGGGCTCGTCTGGGGACAGCTGGGGTCGGGAGGACCCCTGGAGGAAGGAATCAGGACTGAGGTAGCCCACCTTGGAGGGTGTGTCCTCCATGTGTGCCCTCTTCATCTTCAGGTAGTCTGCTGGGGGTGTGTCCAGGTACAGAGGAGTTTTGGTTTCAGTGACCTGCTTTTCTACAGCTTCATAGACCTCCAGCCCTGGAGCTGCTGTTTGGTCTCGGCTTGGACAGTCCAGTGGCACCACCTTCAGTTCTGTTTGCACCACAGTTGCTATTTGGGCAGTTTTCTGCTGGGCTCCATACTCATCCTCTGTCAGTTCATTGATCTTCGTAAAGGTCAGTGATCTACGCATATTTTTTGGTGTTCTAGGCAGTAAGGCGGTAAAATCAAAATCAGACACTTCACCACAAGTGTAGGTTGCATTGTCATTTTCTGCTCTGTCACTGTTGTCTTCTCTGGTCACTTCTGGTGTGTGGGTTTTGTTCTGGATTCGTACAATTTCTGGTGTGCGCGTAACGTTGCAATCTGTCTTCAATTCTGGAGAAGTAAGGGCGGTAGCCTGTGGTGCCGTGGTTTTCTCTGGCGTACCAGTCCTGTTCTGCACTCTACTCACTTCGAGTGTACTTGCAGTTCCAGTCTCTCTACTCACTTCAGGTGTACATGCAATTCCAGTCTCTCTGGTCACATGGGTGGTGTTCTGGACTCTGTTGTGGTCTGGAGAGTGGGTAGTGGTCTGAGCCCTAGTCACTGTGTTCTTAGACTTGGTAACCTCACGGAGGACTTTCCCGTCAGGAGTGGACACTGTGACAATGGTCTCTGTTATCACACTGTCCACTATGACGTCAACTTCAGAGTACTTGGCATGACCATCTGATGCTTTGTGGTAGGTAGGTTCTTCCAGTGACCCTTCAGAATGGACAGGATCCCCTGTATGGCCCTCATTTGGCAGGTTTTCCTTGGTTTCTGCACCTGCCTCCAATTTTGTGATAGCAGGTACAGCTGCCTGCTTGTTCTCTGTATCAGAGGGGTCCACTGAATTTTGGTCGTAGCTAATCTTCAGTGCAGCTTTGGCAATCTTTTCCTGCTGTTTCCCCGAGGAAGTCCTCTCTGGCTCTGCGTTGGGGATGTTCTTGGACTGCAGAACAGCGAAAGGTTTACTTTTACTGCCCCAATGTTTTCTGACCTGAAACAGAACATTTTCAACAGGTCAGTACAGCATAGCTCGCCCAACATAACAACAAATGACCTTTTACACGATTCAAAATACTGTCATATTTCGTATTCTATTTATCATGAAGTGTTTCTGTTCATCTTAATTTAATGTGGAAGATAAAGCAAACAGCATCATGAAACATTCATGACATATGAATTATGAAGGATAGATATATTGGAAGCCACAGTTTAAGTAATTATACAAACAGTACTATTTAAACATTTGTCACATGCAAAGAATAAAGAAATGATTATGGATTTAAGAAAAAGGTAAGAATAAATGGATAGGGGGCCTTATGAATGAGGGCCTGGGGGCTGTTTAAGAATTAGGAAAAAAAATTCATTTAATATTTTTAAAAAATCATGTCTGAGGAGGTCTTTCATACCCTCTTAGGCTGAGGAGGGGCCAGCGCTGTGCCATAGACGATGGTTGTCAGTCTGTATGCATCATCGACATGAAACTGAATCATCTGGCGGCAGTTGCCTTCTTCTGCAGGCTCCCACACTATCTCGAGGCAGAGGTCACTCTTGGCGGCCACTGTGAACTCCACCATGTCTATACTGAAGTTCTTCTTGAAAGGGAATTTCTCGACTACCACATCTTGGTCGTAGTCGTGAGGGTTACGAACCAAGAGTTGTCGCTTTCTTGTCTTCTGCAACTTCTCCTGAACAAAATAGAAGACAAAACATAAAAGGGAGTAAAAGTGATTTAATATTAAATAATCAATATAAATAATAAATAATTTTATTTAAATAATATAAAATCTGGGGTAGCGCTAACACTCGCCAATTTAGCCAAATGCTAAAACTGACATAAATTGGCTAAACAAAAAGGGCTTGATTTAACTTGTTTTAGTCAAATTATTATAACCATTTGGATAACAAATTAACAAAACGGTGGTGATTTGGCTAAGCAAAAAATAATTGCTAGCGCTACCCCAGAAAATATTTAATTTCTTGCTTGTCCCTTTGATCAGTATTCCTATGTGATGATTTTAGTAGGATTACTTTTTCTTTTCATAAATATTTAACAGCCAAATAAAAATAATAAAAATTCTTGTAAAAAAAAATAATGCTTACTTATCCTCCCTCAGTCATTAATACAGCTGAAGTTTTAGCATCCATTGGGTAATTCAAAGTTATCAAAGTTCAAAGATGACTAACATCAAACTTTTAAAAGTAGAAAATAATTCAAACCTTTCCAAAGTCTATCCTGGGTGGCTTGGTAAAGTGCGTCAACAGCAGCACCTCTATGTCTGGGGGTGCTGGCTTTGGGTCATTCTCATCTGCCAACTTCACCGGAGGTGTGTTGGTCATGAACCATGATCTCCGCCCCTTTTTCTTGGTAGGGTTAACATTTTCATCAGCTGGTATGGTGGGTGTGGTCAGTAAAGGCTGGTCAGTATTCAGGGCGGTTGGCGCCAACAAACTGGAAGGGTCAGCTGCCATTGTGACCTGAAACTTGAAATATATGATACTGATGTATGATTGACAGTAGCTACTGCATGGCTAAGGTGTAAAAAAAATCATGTACTACTACACGATTTTGGGATTTGGCATCAAGCAACAGCAGCAGGTAGTGGCCTCATTTTTCAGCTTGTCAAATACCAAATTTTTTTTTACATTTTTGTAAAAGTTTAAAGTGAGTAAAAGACAAATAAATGGTTAAGTACTGGTATGGCGATTTTATTAAATTTGTTTAAAATACATCACTGATTTTGATCTCATTCTTTATCTTTATTACTATCATTATTTTACTTATTTTCATTACGATTTAAGGTAGACTGGTGCTGTATCCTCGAGTCATTTAATATGGTTTAAAACCGATCAAAAAAAGCCAGGACAAAGACACTTTTTAATATGTCGACTATATTGAAACGTTCTTTTGTCTAATATATCTGACACTTTAACTAAAGTAAATCTCTCTCTACTACTCTGAGTAACAATAATGACAATAATTATGGCATCAAACTAAAAATGATGCGACTTGNCGATAGAAAAAGAGGCATATGCAATCATGTACAGCGTGAACAAATTGAGACCATATTTATGGGGCGCAGACGTGACAATTTACACTGACCATAAACCGCTAAAAGCAATGTTTTCATCTAAAATTCAAAATTCAAGATTACAAAGGTGGGCTGCAGTTTTGGCTGAGTACAATGCAAAAATCGAATACGTGAAAGGCACGACAAACATATGCGCGGATTTTTTGAGTAGGTTACCTGAGGAGAGAGAAGAATTAAAAGGGGAGATGGCTATCATGGATACGGAGGACGATTGGGTAGACCCAAGGATGATTCCTGATAGCATGCCCATTCATAACATCCCTTTTGAAGCTGACGGCTTAAATATTGAAGAGGTACAGAAGGGTCAGGTGGAAGAGTTTTCAGATGAAATTGAAGAGGCGAAAAATGAGGAGTCTGACTTTGAAATTTACCAGGGTCTACTCTACTCAACGCGGCCTCCGACACACACCGAACCCGAATATCCCCGGTTGATGTTACCACGACAATTTAGAGAGAAGGTGATTGAAAGCTGTCACAAAAACGTAGGGCACATGGGCATCCACAAAACACTTTGTAGGGTAAGAGAAGCGTATGTCTGGCCGGGAATGCGAAAACACATAACACAAGCCTTAAAACGATGCCCGACTTGTCTAGTGCATAAATCCCGCCCAGTGAGAACAACTTTAGGTGAGTTGCCCCTCCCCTCTTACCCATTCCAGATCGTGGGGATGGATTTAATTGGCCCCTTTGTAGAATCACCGAGAGGGAACAAATACTGTTTGAATGTGATAGATTATTTAACGGGTTGGGCTGAATCTTATCCAATCCCAAATAAAACTGCTAAATCGGTAGAAAACGCCCTGGCAAATGACTTTTTCCCCCGCCACTCTATTCCACAGATTATTATCTCTGATAGAGGTAGTGAATTCAGTGCATACGAATTCAGAGCATATCTATCGGGTCTTGGAATTGATCACAGAAGAACAACACCATATAACCCTGCCTGTTCAGGGAAAATAGAGAGATTCAATGCCACTTACAAAGGTTTGTTATCGCGCTTAGTGAACAATGATGTCAAATCGTGGGAGGGACAAATAGCAAATGCTTTATTCGCTTATCGAAGTAGCATTTCCACGGTGACAGGTTTTAGTCCATATTTTCTAGTGTACGGCAGAATGCCACGAGTCCCCCTATCTAAATTGCTCACCTACGGAGATAATACAAACGCGCTAAACGGCCGGTTAGTGGAACTTTCAGATGCGTTAGCGATAGCTAGAGAGAACCTCCAGACAGCACGAATAGAAACAAAGCGACAGTATGACGCGAAGGCCAATGCCGAAAAGATTGAAGTTGGAGATAGTGTCATTGTTACGGCACCAGATAGAGTTACATTTGGGTCAAGATATGATCCTATATTCACAGTAACTAGGTATCGCGGAAATGTTTTTTGGCTAGTAAATCAGCAGACAGGTAAAACGCGCACGATAAATAGGCGTAGGTTGAAGTTAGTAGAACCAAACATAGCTTGGGAAGGGATTGCACCTAGAGCTCGGAGAGTTTTCCGAAGACCTAATCCTGCTGCAGTACCCGCGCAACAAGGTCCAGAATCAGCGCAAACAGCGGTTAGAGCTGACATCAATGCACACGCAGAAAATCTAAATCGCGAAGAAGCGAATGATGTGGTGAGTGCAGAAAATGATGATAATAAAGAAGACACGGAAAGTGTTGACATGTCAGACTCGGAAGAATCAAACGAAATCACACAACCTAAAAAGCCAATTGTCATACCATCACACTCGCATAATACACGATTTAGAAAACGATGCATGCAACACGCCGAAACACAAGTTGTCCCAGATGAAAATCAATCAAGTCCCAAGCCATTTAAAGTGAGAAAAGTGGGTCAGAATGATACAAGAAGTGATGATATGGAGGTAGATTGCTTAACTACGGCGATAGGAAGGTCCTGTAAATGCAGCGTTTATGATAATGTTAAGAAATCATAGAGATTTTTAAAGGATTCCATGTAAAGATAGAAGAGAAACTTAGGAATAGGAGAGAAGATATAGCGGTAGCACAGAGTATGATGGGAAAATATTCATTATGGTAATTGGATTATTCAAGCCAGCCTGTGTCCTCACTACTAGTGGTGATGGGGCGGGTTAGTATGAGGGATAGGGCCCATCCTTCATGCTTAGGTGAGAGTCATCTAATTTCATAAATTGAAACCCAGCGTATCTGTGGGATTAATTAAGTGATAAGATTATTTTCAATGTAATAAGGTTATTTTCAATGTAGGGTATAAATTTTGATAGAATTGAGTAATACACAGGCTGTACCAGAAGTGTTATTAGTAAAGCGGTTGGACAGTTAGGTATCTTGATAAAGAAAGAAAATAAATCGAATGCGTTGATGATTCGATATATATATGATCTTGTATTTTTCTTTGTATTTTCCAGGAGGAAAAGTCGAGAAGTGAAGGGAACTTCAAAACAAGATGTCGAAGAGTGTCCATGGGATTATGTTTTAATGTTTTATAAATGTATGGGTGTACTATAAAGGACTCATAAGACCTACAGATTTTGAGGAAATTTATTTTACTTGGCCTAGCAAGTGCAGGTCAGAACGATAACTGTAGGTCTGGCAAGGCTGGATATTGATTTTTGAATGTTGTATGTTCATTAAAGCCTTTAATTTTTTCCTTTAGGTGAGACGAGCCTCATTCCGGAGAACCTCAGTCCCGAGTTAATTTTTTTTTTTTTTTTAATGATGAAATACGTGGGAAATCCTATTTTATAATGTTGTGTTATATTAATGATATCATTTGTTTTTCCTTTAGATGAGATGCCTGATTATCTATAGATGCTTGTTAGGGTTAGATTAACCACAATTTATATTTAATGGATATTGTTTTTGTCGGGATCGGTTTCTTTGGTTTCGGATTTGGTGTCGATGTGTCCTTATTGCAACCTTTTGCATGGGTTTTGGTGGCAAGGGTCTCTTTCAGCGTCAAGGTCTGCGACACTGTAACCCTGGATCAGGGTCCAGTTCNATATGAACATGTATTTTTCTTTGTATTTTCCAGAAGGAAAAGTCGAGAAGTAAAGGGAACTTCAAAACAAGATGTGAAGAGTGTCCATGGGATTATATGTTTAATGAATGTATGGGTGTACTATAAAAGACACATAAGACCTACAAATTTTGAGGAAATTTATTTTATTTGGCCTAGCAAGTGCAGGTCAGAACGATAATTGAAGGTCCGGCAGTGCTTGATATTGATTTTTGAACGTTTTATGTTTATTAAAGCCTTAATTTTTTTCCTTTAGGTGAGACGAGCCTCACTCCGGAAGACCTCAGCCCCCGAGTTGATTTTTTTTAATGACGAAATATGTGGGAAATCCTATTTTATAATGTTGTGTTATATTAATGATATCATTTGTTTTTCCTTTAGATGAGATGCCTGATTATCTATAGATGCTTAATATTATATATTTAATGGGTATTGTTTTTGTCGGAATCGGTTTCTTTGATTTCGGATGCAGTGTCGGTGTGTCCTTATTGCAATCTTTTGCATGGGTTTTGGTGGCAAGGGTCTCTTTCAGCGTCAAGGTCTGCGATACTGTAACACTGGATCAGGGTTCAGCTCTACGATACGTGACGTCCCTGGAAGGAAAAGACTGCCACACCCACACCACAAGACCCTGGAACAGTCCGGATAACAAACTTTTCTAAATCTGCGAAAAAGTGCATATTACAGAAGAAGAGTCGAGCAGTCCGGCGACTAATCCGGTTACTCCGCCAGGTCTTCCTGGTAGAGGTTGGGTGAACTGGACACCCTAACAGAATGAAAAACAAAATCTGTTGAAGATCTGCGTATCATTCCAGAGTATTGTAAAGGACGTGTTATAAGTGGAGCATTCATTAATGTGTATACTAGGTTATAAGTGTAATTTGTTTAAAACCAAACGATTATTGGGATGTAACAATAATTGAATACATATATTTGATAAAATATAATTATATGAAGTATCCTATATAAAATTTATAAGGATGGAATGGGGTATAATTTGTACCATTTTAAACGGCGTTATTATCATAATAATTATCATTATTTCATTGTTGTGGTCGTTATGAGAGTATCTAGTTTCAATATGTTGTTTGATTTTAATCCTCATGAAAAGGTAAAATTTGTTTTGTAGGATTCATGTTTACATATCAAGTATTACAGATTAAATTTAAAGTTTGGCACAACTGTTGAAATGGGTTTAATTAAAAGGATTTTTATATTCTGGGAATACATGTTGTTCATGTTGATGTCATTTTAAAATAATGTACCATTATTTTTTATAAAGAGGGGAAGGCGTGTGGAATCCTGCATAAATTCCACATTGTGTAGTCATAGTTAATCAACATGTTATTATCTAATTTGCGTCTGTCCTGTATACATTTAAATATTATTTTCTGTAAAGGCCCATAGGTAGGCCTATGCTTGAGACAGATGCATATCACCTGTTAATATTGCACAACAATTAGTATGTAAATAAGTAGCAGCCACATGTACACGTATGTAAATAAGAAGCAGCCACATGTACACATAGATTCCCTGTAGATAATCTGTATATAACTTGAAACTTGTCCATAATAAAGACACTTTTGATCTGAGACTGAAGATGTGAGGTTGTTCTGTTATGCTTCTCTGTGCACGTAAAGTGAAAGACTGAGTCGAATCTGGAGTCATGTCGGAGCCCATAGATTAGTTAATTCGTTAATGGAAATTGATACACTGGAATTCAGTACAGTTATAAATTAAAGTTAAAGTCATTTTAGACGGTTCACAACACTGTGTAGGCTACATGTAGGCCTAGGCCTATTATGTAGTAAAAAGTCTTTGAGATAATATGACAGACTGCTTTCTTACCTTGTAGATAGCGACAGCGGTGATATAACCCAAATAAACTAAAATTCAAGAGTGGCACAGCTTTCATTCAGCATCGACCTTAGATCAACCTCTTCATGTAAGTTTTAACAGTGATAAGGAACCTTATTTGTATATAGGCCTACTGGGGTATACATGTGTACCAGTATTAACAGAAGACCTTGAAGAGCGATGTCCTGCTGGGGACTACGTGCTCCATATCATTCCAAAAGCTGTGTTTGTGACATCGGCTATCTTCTCCACTCCACCGCGTGACGGCACCTTGGATTAAAACACCGTGCAATCTGGGGACGGTCGAAAGCTTAACTGTGAGCCTATGGTATGTTTACTGACCTATATTTCTTCCAGACAGTACTATTCATCGAGTATTGGAAGTGGTGTTTTGACCTACTTCGAAGGACGTATTTGTCAATCGGTAAAAGGTCGCGGAAAAGGTGCTTATGTGTTAAACTTATCGCGCTCTTCTTTCTTCTCTGACGATAAATTATAGGAACCTATTTTGTGCATAATTACTTCCGCCAAGGAGGTTATGTTTGTTTGTTTGTTTGTTTGTTTGNACAGACTGAATCGTAGATTGGGGAGATTATTTGCATGGCTTTCATTAAGGTCAGAAAACATAAAGGTTAATCAGATCTTAGTAAAGTTTAATAAAATGAAATATTCAAAATATACTTCAAAATGTATTCTCACTACAAACAATATTTAAACCAACTTACTTTCACTCCTGCTCAGGAAACTACCAACATATCATGTTTTCAAGTTGAATTTGGAACGTTTCCACATGTAACCAATCAGACAGCGTGTTGTAAAACAAAGAACCAATCAAAATGCTTTTAACAATTGGCCTTTTAAATTTCAACCGGAAGTTGGAACCGGAAGTTTATACATGTCATGTGATCGGGTCAAAATGGTGGATTGAAGTCTATGTATTAACGCTCTCAGAAATTCAGCATTTTTTGTCTAATTCCACAGAATGCAAAGCCTTTAAGTCACCATCTGATGTGTTCAAAATGATGGGAATGGTATGTAAAATTTAAAACTTTTAGCATTCACCTTTCAACGCCGGTAATCGTCTGTAAATTAGTAAAGTAACCTCTATAAAGACGAGTCCACCAAGGCAAGGCGATTACATCTGTCAGACTTAAATATACGCAATACGCCGCAATACACTAGAAAAAAAATAACGATTCCAGTCGCAAATAAACACTGGTAACGGCCATTCTAACAAAATATCTTATAAAAACGAATTGTAATTATTAGCTAATTATTACCGTTGATACAACTTGAGTCCACACGATGTTGGCATGTGTCTCTTCTTGGCAGGTATGCCTATCTTTTAAGTTGTATCAACATTTTTTTTACCTAGTTATATTTCGCTTTTATATCACCATTTTTGTTGGAAATTACCATTTCCTGTGTTGACTTGCCACAGCATCCATTACTAGTGTAACTGTATTGCGCTTTACTAGGGCGTATTGTGCATTTAAAGAGGATCACAAAGTTGAAGTGAAGGGGATCACAAAACTTTTGACTAAGGCTCATCTTTCATCAGGACCTGAGTATCAGAACACCATGTTATGTATAGAGTTATTGATATATTATGTGCATGTTTTTTTAATCTGTTTCAGTACTTTGAGTTTAAGGACAGTTTACACAACTTCCTTATATATAGATGGAACACGTCTACCCTAAGTAGTAAGTAAAGCTTAGCCAGAGCCTAGTTTTTTCTTTGTCTTATTCAGTTTCATGTAAATTTTTAAGGCATTTTCTGAAAACTATTATATTTTTTTAATGTGCTTAAGTTGACACACACACATTCTTGTAATGTCAAACCAAAAACTGTTTGTTTTAAACAATTATGACGACCCACTTTCAGCAAAATGAAAACAGCATTTTCAGAAGCGCTGATTAGCAGTATTCCTAAAATACAACATACACTCAGATACAGCACAACACTGCATGACACAGTGCAATATACTAGAAAAAAAAAAAACCTGTCGCAAGTATAATGGACTTGAGTCAGATTGTCCGCCATGTTGGCAAGTTTCTTTTCTTGGCAAGATGGGGTGACCCAGTGTAATGCATTGTGTTGCACTGTATTGTGTCATGTTGCACATTTTAAGGAGACCCATAAATCGCTTGTGTTAGTACTGACGGGAATTTATTATATTATTTTTTTTATTTTAGTGTTTTTCCAAATGTTCAGCAGGATACATTTATTGACTCAAAATTATTGATATTGATTATATGAAAAAAAGAAAGTAATTTGAGAACCTCCTTTGGACTAGAATAAGATTAAAAACAAAATTTTGTATACTTTTTTTTTTTTGCATTTGTTAAGAATAGGAAGTTGTTTTATCAATTTATTTGCTTTGTTCTTGTTTTGTTCGCATGCACAGAGAGAGAGAGAGAGTGTGAGAGAGAGAGAGATGGTTTATTATGCATGATTTGTTATGACATAGATTTCACAGATATGGCAAAAGGAAAGGTTTATTTTTGAATATTTCATTTTCATCCTAAAAAAATAGTTAAAGGTATAAGTACTATAAGTGTTTGAACATGCCTCAAAGTCCTCTTTGTATGTTGTTATATCCTGTAAAGCTACTTATCTTTCGAAGTTCAGACCTTAAAATTACAAAACTCCTCAAATATAAGTTAATAATGAGTTAATGTTAGAAGAAATTTTCCTTTCTCTCTCTCTCTCAAAAAAAAAAAAAAAAAAATTAAATTTGGCATGAAAATCCTATATAGAGAATACCTTTTATTTAAGATTTCTTTAATTCCAGCATTTTTTCTTTCCTTGTTCTTCCAGTGTGCTTATACAAAAGCAAAGTATTCAATACATTTCATTTGATTATTTCAGCATTTAACATTTATGAATATTTTTCTCATTCAGGTTTCCTGGTAATTATTGCAGTGTGTTTTGCCCTGGCACTATTAATAGAAGCAGGAAGAGCATTACATTCAATCCTTTCTCACAGGGCAAACTTAAGCCCACTTGTTTATGCAAAAACTAGCAGAAATGTTGCAGAGACCACACCGTTACTTCGTTCACTTATTATTCCCACCAATGTTGACCAGATTGTAAAAAGAAAGTAAGAAAAATAGTGTTTATGTATTTTGGACTTTTACATAGCACTGTCTAACATCTATAGCAGATCATTCAGTGTCGTATTTCAACCCTAACACATAGTAGAATATCCGCAGATAAAATTTCATTGAAGTGAAATAAGTGATTGCCCTTTAACCAGTGCTTTTTTAAATGAATTTCCAACAGTTTTGATCATCACAATTTTTTTTTTTTTTTGCTTTTGCTTGCTTTGATAATTTTTATTACTTGGTTTATGGATATTATTCAGGCAAATGTATTCCTTGATTGATGTTTTAAAGGGTAAATGAAAGTCCATAAACTTTAGTAACTGATTTTCAAAGCCTTGATTGTTTAGCTTACAAAGCTTCTCACTTCCTCTGTTGTTTGCATCTTATTTTTCAACTTATTCCTATCACATTCATTTTATGGCATTTTATTGTTAGAGGGGTTTCATTGGCTGTGTTTATTTGTAACTCTCCAAACTGTCAAGGCATCCAACTTCAATGGAACCGATTGTATGATGAGGTTTAAATCCTGTGATACTTGTATCTGTCCGGGGCCCTTCAAAAGAGAGTAAGGACCTCACCAATATCATAATTCCCTGATGACACAAAATGCTGTTATGAATACCTGAATAGATATACACCACTGTTTTTTTTTTATTCAAAATAAGTATGGGAAATTACTTTCAGAAAAAAAGTATGCTGATGGATAAGCCTTACAGTAGATTCTACTCTGTCTCTCATTAGTTTTTTTCTTTTTTTTTTTAATTGTTGCTATCTTTAAAGGTTTTGTAGGCACCATCTTCATTTTCTTCTTTGCTGCCATGATGTTGGAGGGAATTATGGGAATGTTGGCTAGTCTTAGAGATAGGAGTAAGGTGTTACCAGCATCTGTCAAAGAAAGGTTGCTTGAACCCATCAGTGAAAATTCTCCTCTCATTGGCAAAAGCAAGTCCTTAACTGAATCTGGGGAAAAGCTTATTAAACAGAAAAAGTAAGGAACTATCCTGGACCCGTGCTTTATTAATTGTTTTGAAAACCTCACACTTACAAACATTAACCCTTATCCTATTTTCCACCCTGCTCTCGTAGCTGACAATTGACTCTTGGCTGATTTACACAGCTTGAGTTAATTGTCAGTTTTAACTTTACATCTGACTATTGATTGGGACGTCTTGATAGTCCGAAGGTTCTTTGGTCCAAAAAATCATCACATTTTCATCTATTTTTTTTCAAGGGTTCATTGGTCTGAAGGTTCTTTCTATAGTGAACATTTGGACCAATGAACCTTCCGACTATTGAACTTTTGGACTATTGCTACGACCCCCTTTTGATACTTTAACTCTGAAAGTCCTTATTTTAGATGCACAAATCTGTCATTTTTGGTTTATAGTTTCTTTTTTAAAGTACTACTTGACCTTTGCTAACAGCAGCATGTGAAATTTTTTTCATTTGATAAAGATGACTTCACATTTGCTTATTATGCTGGTTTACCATCGATTTGATGATTAATAACAATTTGATGCATAAACTAAAATTAAACTTATGTCACCCAGCAACAAAACTATCTAATAGGAATAGCATCCCTCTCTATAGCAACATAGCTATAATGCAAAATGGTAAGGTGAAAATATTTATATTGTATGTAACGCTTGTGGCGTTAGGTAACTGTAATGTTGTTACCCTACAAAGATTTTTAAAAGTTTCTTGGCATGCTCACTTCAAAAATAATTGTCATTGTAAAAGTTAAATGTTCCTTTGTTTTCAAAAATGAATTTTTAAATAATTTAGGAACAGTGTGGCATTTAAAGAACTGCAATGTGGTATTGACAAAATTTTGTTTGACAGAAATGATGCATAAGATAAAAATCATACATGTACTGGGTGTATTTGAAATTATTGGATAATTTTAACTTCACCTAAGAATTCATATTTGTATATAACGTGAATTTTCAATCACATTTGGTACATGATATTAAAACATTGGTGCATTGGTTACTTCAGGATAAAGTATCATATTGGGATGTCCTTGCTGCATGTGGCCAAAGTGGTGGTAGCTTATGTGGTCATGCTGGCGGTCATGTCTTATAATGCATGGGTGTTTGTTACTGTGGTTATAGGTAAGTGGACAAGACTAGGACAGTGGCTTAGCTGTCTGGCAGGCCTACTGAAGCTGCTAAACAATAATTAATTACCCACTATCAGCTTCAGTGAGCATGACAGACATCTAAGCGGCTTAAGTTGATAGCAATTTAGTGAGAATCTCTATGGAGAAAAATCGATCCATAGTTAGTATGTTAGGGTCTGGGAATGGTTCCAAGGATACTGTTTGGAAGACTTTGATTTATTATGTTTTTATGATTGCATAAATTTTGTTTTACAAACTGATTGAAGCAGTCTTTGATCTCTTTGTTGTTAATATGCCATTCTCTGTCAAATATTTTTGTGAAGACAAGAAAATATTACATAGTTACTGTGTCAACTTACATGGTGTTTGTCAATATTTCAGGCAGTGCTTTGGGATACTTGATTTTTGGAGCCATTCAGCATAAGATCACCACTGCTGATACGCCTGACACTCACGTAATAAATAACCAGGATGACATGCTAGGCACGCACTCACAGACTAGCTATGAGCCTATTGGTTAACTCTAACAACATCAAGAAAGAATTAAAAACTGAAGATGACTGTGATTATTTCTGGGACGTGAAAATTGCTTGAGGACAAGACAGACATTTTAGTTGTTCATGGGGGATTGTGAGGATATTTTAATTATGTTTGGATGGCAATCATGCTCCGTAATATTTATTATAAAGAACATAAACACATACAATTATATGCATGCCCACACCTACTTGACATTTAGTGCTATTGAAAGGTCACAAGCAGTAAAAAAAAGTGACTTAGATATGAAATATATAAAGAGGGAAAGAGAATAGAATAGAAGCAAGAGTAGACATCAGCAAAATATTGTAAATATTTTTATACAGTGCAATAATGGTTTTTTTTTACTCTGGGTAAATATGCAGGGTTGTTTGTGAAGAATGTGACAAAGTAAATGTAAGAGCAAACAATGTTAAGCTAAAACAAGGCCTTTAAAACGTGAAATGATGAGAAAAAGGGAAAACTGGGTGATAGACTGAATTGATGAAGTTAATTAAAATTCAGTAGTCTGTGTATACTACAAGGACAGTTGCAAACAAGACTTGGGCTTTCATTTGGTATCTAGTGTGGTTGTGTATTTAATAAATATCAGAAAATGATTGGCTCAACTCCAATGTTAAGAGATAATTGACGTGATAATGGTCTCTTTGTTATATGTTTTTAAGCATATAACAAAGAGAATATCATAGCATTGCAAGAATATCATAGCATTGCAAATCAGGAGTTATAGGAAGAAATGATTACTCACCATTAACCACTGATTATTGTCTCTAACTTATTGACATAGTGATATAATGCTTTTAATACATGTGCCTGGCAGTCTTTCTTTACTTGGGTAATTTTTAAAATATTTTCATGTCTTAAAATATATAATCAAATAAACTTTTTGCAAACAAAGTGTGTGCAGCTAATTGTTTTAGTCATATAAATATAACTAAAAGGCAACAAGTCGGCTTTCACATTAATTTTTTTTGCATGTGTATTAGATAATTTTAATAGGAAGTAGTTTCATTTGCTGGTCATTGATATTGGCTTTTTCAGTATCGTACTAGGTAAATATGAGATCTTTAATCATACATTTCACTTAATGTTTGTTCCTGTACCTGAAACTTTTAATGCAAGTCTTTCAGTTGCACTTCTTTTCTGTGAAATTTGGAGATAATAGCATGATTTATCTAGAAATCCTTATTCACCCCCAAACAAGTTGTGCACTTTTGTTGTTTGCAAATTGGTATCACATTTTAAAGGTCCACTTACATCTCTGAAAATTGCACTGAACTACCTTAAAGGTGACATGCCTTAGACAGCTTAAAACCAAAAAATTAATTAAATTTCTATTTTAAGTCATGCTGCCATGTCAACTCTCAAATAAGGGATATCAATTCCTTGTAAGCAGCAAACAGCTTTAATCCAGACATAAGCCACCCTCTTAAAAAATCTCTGAACATTTAATTTGAGATTAAATGCTTAATGTACTGAGGAACTAAATCGGGGTTTGCCTCGGGGCACATCAGAAGTGAATCTAAAATTCCACGATTCCACAAAAAAAAAAAAAAAGAAAAAAAACCCTCATATCTATGCATCCCACGTAAATGATAGAATCCAAGTAAAAAATTCTACAAACAGTGGGATGCAACCCCATATGTATATACAAAACAAGTCGGTTTCTTAAGCTTTTTATTACACACTGACAAGATTCATACAAAAGATAATTTATAAGCTTTAATACAAGTTGTGATATAAGGCAACTATTACACCATTATCATGTAGTGCACCTTAAACAGTGTACTTCTTGATCACGTTACTATGTACAATATATTCTACACATTATCAATGGCACTGTACATACAACTGGAGCTGCTAGAAAGTAGGACAAACTAATACAGAATAAATTTACAACATAAACAAGGCAGCAAAGCTGTCAAATTGACAGATATGCAAATGACAAAAGTGATACTGGTGGCATAAAAACAGTCCAAAAATGGACCAATTTAGCAATGAAACTGTAATAGTTTTTGGCCAATTTTAATGCAAAATTACATGATGCTAATAGTATAAACACTATCAATTTTTAATTGTACACTAAAGATGTTGTGGACATTCAGAAAAAAATAACTACTTCAATATTAGTTTTTACTTTACAGTGTTTATGGACAAAATGAGCCAATAAAACTTGCAGAAAACATAGTGGTGACAGAAACAAGTGAAGGCAATGTCCAGATATATAGCATATGTCCATCAAATTGGAAAAGATTCTAGCATTGCTGTTATATAAATTGATTCAATTTATCAATTTACAAAAATAAATAAATAAAATATTGAAGGCATTAAGTCTGTTTCAAATAATTAACCATAAAATGTTTTTAAATGTTTTTATTAAGACCTGCATAAAGATAAAGATTAGATGCATTAGATTAAGAGTAAAATGACAAATATAAATTAATCTGTCAAATGTCAATGATACTTAATGATACAAAGGTGAAATACCTTGAAATCTACCAAACTTTAAACATCCACTATTACCAATCTGGAAAATTACCTACCAAATATAATCTGGGCAACTCCTATATGAGTCGCTTTGGAGGCAAGACAATAATATGCTTTCACGGATGTTGCTGTTCAGATAATTTGAAAGTTTTACAGATTCTCAGATTTCCAGTAAATTCTTATCAAACCCAATTTCCATCCTTGGGTTTATGTGGGGGTCCTATGAACATGACCCTGCACGTACCTTCCAATATTAACAATACTTTAATCTTATGCATCATACAGATCTAGATGCATTAAATATGTTTATTACCAGATTAACACGAGAATTACTTTCAATAAAACTTATGTGTAAATTCACTGTCATTCTAGAAAAAATCTTCAGTATGCAATTTCATAGAGGACTAAATTATAAATTATTTCAGTCACGAAAATGAATGGGTACTTCTCTGCTATTTCCATTGCCTAGCAGACTGTACAATTTGAGATTCACTGGACTCTGACGTCACCATTTCAAGCCACGTAGACAACACCATTCAAATGTTTCTAAGGAATTTGCTCCCAAGAAAAATTTAGAAACAGACATAAAAACACTTAGGATTCCTTTTTAAAATAATTTCCACAATCATGTATTTACAGAAAAGGTGAATTTGGTCCCCATATTAAAGCAAATGAATTAAAACAAAGAATAAATAAGATGTGAAATGTCCTCTGTAATATTCAAAGATGTGTCATAACAATGGTTATTTAAAGGTCATTTTTAGCCATGTTCAAGATAGACTAAGGAAGACATGGTTGAAGTCTAGATAACCAGCTAAACATTCTCAATTAATTCTAATTTTAGCATTGAATCAATGTAAAAAGGAATATTAATGGTGAAATTTAAGTCAACATCTTTTAAAATAAATCAATATTCAACCAATAGTTTAATATTACTATACATATACCAGTTTGGATCCAGCCGAACAATGGTCTGGCATCAAGAATGGCCATTTTAGAGTTGAGAAGCTGCTGAGAGGATGCTATCTCCTTTGATAAGTTCCGTTAACAGACTGAATGTTGGGATTGTTCCTGCCATGTGCTTCCTGACCAGTTGTTCTTTGGCTATGACTGCAGTCTGCGTGAGCTCTCCAATGCGCAGAAGAAGTTCGCCAAATTTCGTTGGCATTTCTGGGAAGTGTGTAGAGGTGTAAGTGAGGAGAGCCTCGTTGATGTGGTCTTGATATTCACGGATGCTGGTTGGATTCTTCAAACCATCAATATCTGAAACAAAGTAAAGTTTAAAACATTTATAAATACTATAACATATATAAAAAATTCCTTTTGATACGACATTGCGAACCAGCAAAATGTATGGCTGCTAAAAATAATGAACCTTGTATTCATTCTGAACTACGTCTATTTTAACTATAGCGTTTTGTTGCAAACAACAGTTGAAAACAGAGCATTTTCTATTTACATGTTAATTATTATAAAAGGTTTCTGTGAAGAGTATTAAGTAAAACTTGTTTTCCTCACTATCTACTATTTAAGAACTTTTGATAGCGGCATAAACTAAACACAAATATCGATGTAATATATAGCAGTTTATTTAAGTGCATTTGAGAACCTAACAAAGGAAGAACTGGACAATGGTGACCAACTATTGCTGAAAACATACCAACTAAAAATATGCACTCCACCTACCTGGAGATATTAACACTAGCACCTTGAAGCAGGCATACTCATGCTTATCCACTTTTAACCTGCGCAGGTGCTGAGTTAAGTTCAAAAGACGTGTAAACGTCTCCTCTACTTCAATGGCCCGCGCCATCTCTAGGGTCATCAGCTTGCCGTTGGACAACAGAAGCTGGTTCTGAACGCCAATGGACCGCCAGCAGCAGCCCACCAGGAGCAGCTCCGACCATGCATTCTGTAGCATCAAGATCTGATCATCGGTCTGAAAACACAAACTTGGAGATTATTTTTCTATATTTTTCAAGTGCTACCCCGAGACATGATTTTGATATAGGAGAAAATGGCTTCTTAACCTTATGGGAGGCCACATATGATATGGAAGAAAAAAATGGATTTCTGTTGAAAAAAAAAAATAAATAAAAGTGATGAAAAAAAGTTGAAAAAGCGTGCTGAATGCACAGGTGCTTTTAAAAAAGCATCTTATGACATGTAAGCAAGGAACTGTTTTATTTTTCCTTTTAGATGATGTGCAAATCAAGAAAATTCTTTAAAATGTAAATCCTGACTTTTTTACCTAATAAAGTCAAGATATTTCATCAGTGAATTCAATACAGTTCACTATTATAATCAAGATATTTCATCAGTGAATTCAATACAGTTCACTATTATACAGGTAACTTTGTGAACATAAATACTGGTCAATGACCATAAACAAATAAACTTGTCAAAAACTATTCCACAAGATTACTTACATATATACATTAAAAAAAAAAAACCCTCATATAACTCCAAGGAATATATTATACCTCTATTCCAGCAAAATCGGGGAGATTCCTTGCCCATCGCACTATTTTATACAACCTGTGGTCAGCTAGGTGAAGTAGGGAGTTGTACTGGTCTCTGTCTGAGGCAGTCATCCTATCCTGACAACACGCGGCCACAGGTTCCTCGTCAGACAGTAGGGACTCCACATTCATGATCTCAGTCACTATGGAGGGGAGCACGGGGACCACAGCACTGGGAGACTTGAGAGTGGAGCCCAAGGGACGATTTAAGATGGCCACCAAGCTCGGGTTGGCACTGGCTGTTTGTGCATTGGGGGGCGTCCGTAAAGGCGTCAGTTGAAGATTTGACGGTGATGAAGTGAGACTTCCGGGTGAACTGTACGAGCTTCTGCCTCCTCTGGTACGATCTACTCGTATGGCTGGGGATGGAAAATAAAGTTATCAGATTAATCATGACGTAAAAAAACAAAGTGTCTCTTTACGTTTCAAAGCAAGAAACTGCAAAGAAAACCTGATCAACTTATTGACTAGTTATCATCGCAATTAACTAGTTATAACTGAAACTTTATACTTTATTGACATAACCATGGGTTCCTTTAATATCTGCAGTGACAGAGCTATCAAAATGTCCTGCAATCCAAATGCCTTAATGAGAAAATGTTTCATAAAATTAAGCCCAGAGGTAGATCTATGCTATTTCATTTCAAACCTGTGAAATTGGTTACCAAGGTCATGCTATGGAACCTACATAACTGCATTATAAAGCCCACTGCCATTTAGCTGCAGTGTAATTTTATCATAACAGATTTTGATCAGCTACCAGCACAATACACATATTTACCCTCATTTTACTTTCCCACATATCATGTATACACATATAAGTGTATATTAACTGTTATTGTTGTTCACACACAGTTTTCCTGAGGCAGATGTCAATTTTATAAAATTCTTGGATATATCCAAACATCTTGATACAAATCTTTAAGATTTGTAGTTATTTAGATGATCTGATTTTTTTTATTTAAAATAAATTTTTCCTTTTTTTACTACAGATTAAGTTACGAATTAAAAAAAAATATCCACACATTTTTTCCATTTTAAATTTTTTAACAAATTTCAAAGCACGTAACATTTTAACCTTTATTTATGAATCAATTATCTTCATCTAATCTTTCAGACAACTACTGAAATATTGAAATTCCTCTCCATACCTTCCAGCCTCATGCCGCCCTCCAGACATTTCTTAAACCTGCAAGACGGACACTTTTTTCTGTTCATCACATTGACATCGCAGTCCCCATTCCGATGACAAGAAAAATCCTTCTTGTTCTGCACCGTCCTCTTGAAGAAACCTTTGCAACTTTCACATGTATAAATACCGTAGTGGAACCCTAGAACAACAAGAGGTATTGCAATCAAATAAGTTGATGGTACACACTTTACTTCTGTATAACAGCAACTGTCTAACAAACATGGCATATATCATCATAAAGGCTTAAATTTTCTGTCAAAGTAGTAAACAGTAGTAAAAGTACATGTGTAGCAGTATTTGCATAAACTAGTTCCATCTGATTCCTTCTTTAAGAGAAAATATTGTAGAAATGTGCAGTTAATTTGTAGAACCCAATGTAGCACAGCAAACAATGACAAGAAAACAATCTTTTTCCCATAGGTCCACTCTACACACCTGAAACTCTGTCCCCGCAAATAGGACATGGTCCTTTGTCTGCATATTTCTCTAACATAGCTGCCATTGTGGATTGCTGCGGGGACTGAGCTGTAGCAGGGGATGAACTGTTAATGATATGGGAGGCCACGTTGGACAATTCAATGATTCTCATTTTGCTAGGAGTTCCATCCTGGTTAATTGTATACATTGCTCTCTTCCTCGACCCATCTTCATAACCTGCCATGTCAACTATCGTCTCCGTGGTGGCCACAGGAATGTCACCCCCGGACAGCTGTTGTTCCTCCTGGGAGTTGGCTATCAGTATAATCGGCGCCTCGGCCTGGTTTTCACTCTCGCCTTGACTCTTAGCATGGTGGTTTGCAATAGCTGCCAGAACTTTACCAACATCAAAATCCCCCTGAACGTTAATAATCTGTTGCCTGGCCACCCCTGCCTGGGTGTCGCCACTGTCACCATTAGGTTCCACTCTGATCACCAGTCTCTGTCCACTCTTTTGTTCCAACACAATCCTGGTCTGATTGTCACCGTCTTGCGTCTCGACCACTTGCTCCGCGACCTCATCAACCCCATTGTTCTCATGCCTGTCCATCACGATCACCTCCTCCTGTCCCTCTGGGCCGTGATCGAGGTACACCACACGTTCATGTATCCCGTCTTCGTGGCCTCCCTCCTCTACTATTTGCTCCTGAACTCCGCCTTCGACTCCCACCTCGTGGCTGGCTGTCTCCAGGAGGTCTGAGGAAGCCACCATGTATCCGCCCCCTGGGTCTGAGGACAGGTTGCCTGCTGCTGTTGTTATGACGGTGTCTGTGTGGTTTATGTGGTGGTTTGTAGATGTGGCTAGCTTTTCTGTCACTGCCTGTAGCAACACAGGGGATATGCCAACATCTGTGTCTTCACTCATACTGAAAATCTATAAATAGAAACGATTGAAGTATGCAGTTTATTGAAAAGGGTATTTGTATTTTATATTATGTATGCCTTGGCAATCACACTTTAACTCAGTCTCTCTACAAAACCACCCATTCAGTTCACAAACCAAAACAATGGTATATTTTAATTAATAAAATTAAACAAATGCTGCTGAAGCACAAGGAAATTTAACAAATTACTGCAAAAATCACATTTTCGATGACACAATCACCATCCTCACTTGACAGGGATTTTATTTATTTTTTTTTTTTTTCAGGAAAATGATCGAGTTACACATAATTATAAACTGCTCCCCTTTTTTAAATTCCCGTTTAAATCATAGGATGTACTCTTTTCGGGCCAAGTAATAATTAATACATCCAATAAAATTGATTAAATAGCATGCTGTTAATGATTGAAGAGTTAAAGAAACTTCCAAATAAATTCTGCTGTCAAACTGTAAACACGAACTGCACTATCCTGTCAACCCTAAATAGGTCAAGGACAGCCATCTTGAAAACGTAGAATTTTAGGCGGTAAACCAAATCTCCGACTTCATCCCAAACCTTGTTTTCCCCCATTCGTGCCCAAAATGTATAAATCTTCATTCCATATTTAAGTCAACAAGATCCAACCAGACGTTTAATTGTACTGAAAACTTTTTAGATTTCTGTCTGCAAAACGGCGACTATGTCAAGGTCACCATAAGGCACGCTGTACTCTTTTTCAAACGAAATGTATGATTTGAAACTGTTCTGTGAATCAGTAAGCATAATGTCGACTTAATATTTCTACGCTGGTAATAGACAGCAACTTACTTTTGATCTATGCTGATCAGCTATCTATAAATCTACAGATGTTGTAGCGGGCAAAATGCTGTTGACAACTCGACGTCCATGACCTTGTTGAAACACAAAGAACCACCATAATGCCCGAAAGGATACAATACTAAAGGAAAGATAAAATTACACATAATTTGCATTTTAAAAAGCAAAAAATCGTTTGCTCTTCTTACAATATGAACTATTTACCTTATCAGCAGTTAATGCGAACCCTTGCGAATATTTATTTGCATTTATTTTATATATCAAACTTCAGTTCTCCTTACTAGCTCCTTACAAGTCGCAGTAAAAGTTTGACCTTAACATAAGAGAAATAAGTGAACAATAATAAAAACGTATACATTACACCCTGGTATCATATTTAAATAAGTAATGTATATGTCAATGATAAATTTCAGTTAATTCCATTTATTCATTTATTTTCCGAAAAAATAAAACTGCGGACTGAAATGACTCACTTCCGGTGTAAACATGAAAGTGAAGTGGAAAAGCTTGCATGGGTGTCTTTGGCTCGTTATCCAAATTGCCTTTTCTCAGGAACTAACGTGTACCAGTACAGACAGCTGCTCATGTACACTATCTGATGGACATGGTAAAATTGACTTAAAGAAATTGAATGA